CCCTGAACATTACTTACATTACTTTTAATAAAAGGAATATCTCGAAAATAATTATAAATGATACCCTTCGCTCACTGAATACTACAGTGGCAACTCAAAAACCATTATTTCGAGAAAACGCCACAACATTGTAGTGGCATCCCATAGATAATTTAAAGAAAAAATAAAAAACTTAACAGTAATAATATATTACAAACGATTTAACTGTTATGCTAAAAAGAATGATTTTAATAATTATAAATATATTAAATTTTCATAACTTCGGAGAGCGTTTCTCGAAATATGGTTTTTGAGTTGTGCCACTGTAGTATTCAGTGAGCGCCTTGATCTAGCTCTTTTAACGTGTCGAGTGAGAGATAGAACAAAATACTCGCTGAATTGCTGTCAAATTTTATTTAATGCCTATTTTTTGCATGTCCATGTTTCCCTAAAATATGAAAGTAACAATCTGCTTCAATGATGGATTATGTCATCCTCCCTATTTGCCTTGTTTCGATTGCATCCATTGGCAAGATCTGTGCTCCAGTAGTGGAAATAATAAAAGGTTTATGATGATTATGTGAGTACACATTTAATTAAACTTGTAGATAATAATAAATTGAAAAATTGAACATGTTATTATTTAATTATAATATTAGAAAAGTATTTCTATTGTATACAGTCATAATAAAAAAAAGAAAACGTTTTATGCTATCTATACTTTCTTAAGTAATATTTGCTTCAGGATGAGTATGTTTAGGATGAAGTAAGAAAATTATTTTTAGGTTGAGTTAGAAATACTAGTTTGAAATGAGTAAATAAACGGGATGAGACGTCATAGGATGAAAACGGAACAAACTGTTACTGTCTATCTCGCTATATCTCTAATCGTAACTGTAAAAACTTTTTATTAATTTTATCAATGATTATGCTTGTATTCATTTAATAGTTTTTTTTTTATTCTTTTAATATAAAATGCTGGTCAGGTAGAAAGAAATATGAACAGATTTAGTAGATGCAATTACAGACTAAAAATTATTAGAAATAAAGGAGTTTTATGTTGTCTATTTTTTTTATTATTGTTGCTTATATCAAAATATAGTAGTAATCCATGCTTAAATAAACAACATGTTTCAGCTGAGGTCGTGAGAATGTAGTGTGCTCAAATAATCGACGTTTGTTTACGATTGATGTTGCGAAATGCTGAGTGAATTGAATAATTTTAACCCCATTATGTCGTAAGGCGACCACCCAAGTGTTTGTATTCGAATACTTGTAATTTTAGTTAATTATTTTATTTTTTATAAGAAACATAAAAAATTGTGTGTCACTTTGTAGCCAAAGACTTTGTATAGTTCATTTACAAAAAATCGCAATAGTTTACGTAGTTAATTTAAAAAGTTTGATATTTCGGTTCTTTTTGAATTAGCCATCTTGATTTTTATGCCCCGCCTTAATAAAATATAGTATGTTATTCGCTGATAACGCTTTATATTGGAAGAGAGGTTAAAACAAAACGTTATCGTATTTTTTTAGTTTATCCATTACAAACAAATATGTATGAATCGCACTCGCGTTATGTATAATAATGGAAAAAAACATGTTTTTTTGTATAGGACACCCTAAAATATTTAATTTATTCTGATTTTTTTTTGATTTCTTTGTTAAAGCAGCAACAGAAATAATAACTTAGAATAAACAAAACATTAATAAAAATTGTAACTGTAAGTAATATTATAGTAAGTTATTAGGTCCAATTGGGGAAGTTGCGCTGTCTTGCCAGATGTAGTGTTGTAAAAGAACTGAGTCTTTTAGTTCTAATATTGAGACTCGAGTCTTTTTTGAAGACTCAAGTCAAAAAAGAGTAAGTTAAAGCTCAAGCCCCTCTGAGCTTTTAATCTTCTTAAAATAGACTCCAGTCTTGCCAAAGAGAACTCGAGACTGAGTCTTTTAAAAGAGCTCACTCTTTACAAAAAGAACTCCAGATTAAGTCCTTTAAATATAAACTTAGCTTTGCTAAAAAGAACTAGCGACTGAGTACTTTTAAAAAAAGCTCAGTCTTACGAAAACCTACCTACACTTATAATTATAACGGGACAGGCCAGCTACACTATGCGCTTTGTGATCGTGTTTCTAAGCCCAAATTTGGATTCGCTACCCACATTCGAGCACGTCACAAAGACCAGGTTATCTTGTAAGGTACGCCATCACCGGACACGAGTCTTTTTGATTGGACTGTAGTCCTGCTGTATAATTCAAACGATCCATAAGACTTCAAAGAACTTAAAGGACTCAAAGAACACAAAGGACTGAAAAAAAACGAAAGGACTTAGAATAAATCTAACGACTCAAGAAATTTTAGGACTGAAAGAACTGAAAAGACTCAAAAGAACTCAATACTCAGAACTCAGAAGACTAATTAGTCGTGAGTTCTGCAAAAAGAACTTATACTCGCAAAATTAGGACTAAAAGACCAGTTCTTTTACAACACTAGCCAGATGACAGGGTGATAACCACCTTAGTTTGGCAGCAGATGCCTTGTACAAGTGAAACTTATTTTATTTATTGTGTGATTTTGATAATGTCAATGTTATTAAGTTTGTACTAATTGTATATTTTAAAAATTGTTGCTGGAAATTAAAATTATTACTATTATAATCTGTGACAATTTTAAATATAACTATTTCAGTTCTTGAGATACGGCCAGAGATGGAATCAAATCTTTGCTTAAGTGTAGTGTAAGTGTAGGTGAATATTATTTACTTATTGATAGTGTTACTTTGTTCGGCATATACAAAGTAGGACGAAAACAATGGGTAGTACAGACACTACAGATATTGTATATAAAGAGCTTTTATTCTGATACTACTTAAAACATTATGGGTTGTAGTTATCACTCTGACCTCGCATGTACGAAACAAAAATGTTCCTGTTATTATTAAATTGTAATTATCATAATGTGGCATGATTAAAAACCTGTATAGTAAAAACTACATATCTATACTAATATTATAAAGCTGAAGAGTTTGTTTGAACGCGCTAATCTCGGGAACTACTGGTTAGAATTGAAAAATTCTTTTTGTGTTGAATAGACCATTTATCGAGGAAGGCTTTTGGCTATATAACATCACGCTGCAACTATAAGGAGCGAAGATATAATGGAAAACGCGGACGAACTCGCTGGCGGCCACTAGTAGTAAATATATACGAGAAACGAATCACCATGTGATGTTTTTGAAAGGATTAGTCATTTGGCGAATATCATTTTAATAATTTCCTGTGTCTATATATTTTACAGTTTGTTCTGTTCCAAATATTAAAAGAATACTTAAGAACTGTATGTTGGTACATATTTACTTTTCATTATATCACATTACGTACAGTCAATCGCATATGCATATAAGCCTTTAAGAAACTGTCAAATTTCTACACTTGATTTACGGTCAGTTAACAAACGTCCAATAAGGTTTAATGACTCCATTAAGTACTAATGAATGTCAAATTTGCATAAGTAATGTCGATTTGTACTAATGAAATTTATAACGGACGTTTGTGCAACTAGCTGATACTTCATACATCGTATGTAGAATTCAACATCAATTGAGAAAGTTTGCCATATATAATTGGTAGTCTGGCGTGTAGTCGTTTATACAATAATTGATACTATTTTATGTTTGTGTTTCTGGAGTCAACATTTACGAATTTCACTACAAAAAAAAAAGAAAAATAAGGATTTTTCAATCCATGTTTGCTTGCATGACGCTGCAAAAATATTAGGAGATTATATAAACATACATAAAAAATATATGTATATTTATATAATTATATTCTTATGTACGGATGTTTTATGTATGTGTATGGTATCTATAAGTATACTTATATAGTATAGTTTCTTTCTACAAAATTTCCATCTCTATTGTGCACCCCACCGACTATTTGTCTCTACATCACCCTAAGGTTACAAAATGCCTACGGCCTTTTAGTCCGCCATTGTACATTTGTGCAAGAAGTATCAATATATAATAAATAAAACGAAAACAAACATTTGCATGGGCTATGCGGCGGATGACTCGATAGTTCCACGTCTGTCTTGACCAAATAGTCGATAATTTGCCAAGGCTATAATGAAAGAGGATCGTACTGCAAATCTATAGTAATGTTTTATTATCCTCTAAAGCCACGGTGGCCGAAAGCCTCCCCGCGGGCGTGATCCGGTCCGCGAGACAGTTTGAAAAACCTAATTTATAATAACATTGTCGAATTATTTCATGTCTGATATCCATCGCAAAAAAAATATGAGCACAACAACTCTACTTTAAAATGTACTACAATTTTAAACGCAGCCCGCGAATGTATTTGTACACTAAAGTTTGGCCCACAACATGTCCAAGGTTACCCATATCTGTTTTAAAGCAATAGGAATGACGGCTGATTTTTGTATGTTTTGTTCGTCAAGTAGATAGTTGTAGAATATTAAACACGTATTTTTTTTCGTAATCATTAAATTACGGCTATTCATTGAGAAAAACGGCACAGGACTTTATGCTTTTGTACATTTCCTACAAAACTGTGACGTAGCGAGCCCCCACTCCCCAACTTTAATGCCTGTTATCTAAGCTATTTCTTGTTAAATTTAATTAAAAAATATGTATCTAATATTTTCCTATTATCTGACTGACGGACTAAATAGAATTCCTTTTTTCTTACCCAGTCGTCATTCCCATTGTCGCGTAAATGACCTGTTCTTCTGAAGAACGACGCTAACATCTTTTATCACACACTGACCTCATCTTCGATCCGCATACGATTTCTATATTTAGATTGGGTATATCTATTTTACACTTTACAGTTGGGCCATCGACCAGAACAGCGCCTGGTGGGCCGAGGGAATCTACAATTTTCTTTCTTACTTTTTAATTTTATTCTTTATACTTGTTCAGAAATTGTTTAAAAATATTTATTTATAGGTATGTTTAATAGTGGAGTATCTGAATAATTCATTTATTTTATTTCGTTTCCAGGTAAATGAATATAATGATACAGATGCGGAAGAATCATCTCAATCTAAATCGGTGGACCAGATAGTAACAATTAGTAAGCTCAACCCGCATGTTCCAGAGTTTATACCAAAAAGTGTAACTGCATGTTCTCCTAGCAATGAACAATGTAAAGATGTAGTTAATAATGAAAATAATAAGTTAAGTGGAAGTAATAAAACCTATCATGTAAGTAATAGTATAAACAAACGTGACGATAATATAGACGTTATAAGTGTAGAAAAAAGAAATGACATTTCGAAGTTGAAACTTAAAAACTGTGATAGTGTTATTGCAAATGGTATAACAGATTCTCGAGATGTTAAGGATATAAGCAGTCAATCAATTACGGAAAAGGGCAATAACGAAAAGGACTGTGATGATATTGATATAGAGAAAAGAATTGATATTTCTAAGTTGAATCCTGACGAAATTAACCATATGACGAAAAAACTTAGAAATAAAATTAGTAGTGTCTCTAAAAGCGACAATTTGCAAGGTAAAAGGGATAGAAATGTAGCAATAGCTACCCTTTTAAAACTTTATTCTGCTGAACCAAATAAGTTGAAATCACTGTCCCCTGAAAAGTTATTGGCGCCTGAAAAGTCAGTAAAACATGAAAGTGACGGTCAACCTCTACTGTTTACACCAGAATATTTTGAGATGAGCATAGCTAAAGGATCTCCAGAAGAAACAAAGCCAAAGTCGTTTACTGATATAAAGAAGACAATACCACTGACCGTCGAGAAGGACGCCCCAAGTGAGAGTAATGAGAGTCGAATAGAAGAAACCGACTCTTCCAAAGAATCATTTTCGTCTAGCTCCAATAGTCGTCTTGAAGATCCAGAAGTACGCCAGTCCATAGAAAAGGTGACGAAGTGGTTTGATGAACCGAAATCACTCAAGTCTGTATCACCTATGAAATCGATACGGAAAGGACCTGCGGTATTTTTAGGCCCAATCTCTTTTAAACGGAAGGACTCCCCTAAGTCTCCTGTCAGTGACGAAAGCAAAAGATCAACCCCGACTAAAAGTAATTCAACAGCTCATGTGGCGCATTACAAACCATCTAAGTATGCGGAAGACTTGAGAAAAATATATTCTGAGCGTAATAAGGATATCGATAAGAGAAATCAAGATATATGGACGGCACTTGAAATTAAAATGAAAGAAAAAGAAGAGAGAATGAGAAAAGTACGCTTGGAAAAGTCACTGTCATCGTCGCAAGATGTTTCCAGTAGTCAAGACGACACCAGCCAAGATGATAATGATAGTAAAAGATAACGTATCAATAGGTCATTTCAAATTTGAAATCATTTTTTCTTTATTTATTTTGAATGATTATTCAAAATGTTCTAAACACCTAGTTGGATCATAAGTTCTGCCACATGTGATTTGTGAAATATTTGAGGCGCGCTATAGTAATCATCTATCATATAGATAAGAAAATTAATGTGTATTAGATGAATTTATTCATTTTTTTCTGTTCCACTGATCAGTATTTTTTTAATACTGGCTCAACAAATGCCTGGTGGCTTCAATAGAAACAGAACTCCCTTCTATTTTTAACTTCGGCGTACTCTTTGCCCGCATATCGCTTCAACAAAGCGAAGGACATTTCAGTCTCAAGTCCTGTGCATCTGTGAACTCTTAAGTCTTCATTTAACACCATTATGACCGTGGTCCTGCTTAACCTAGTCAGTCTTATCGGGCACACGGTATGCGGTGCTTTTTATTCAATCTGTTCACGACGCCGATAACGAAAATTCTTGGAAAATCTTTCGGCTTAGGAGGAATATTTCTGTAAGCCTATTCATGACACCATTGCTGAAGCTCTGACTTTCCTTATGGATTGAATCAAGTAGGAATGAGTCATAGACCACCACTCGGACCCAGTAAGGATCGGTGGGTCAGGAGGAATATAATTCATTGACGTTTTCATCACATACAACCGTAAAGGGTGCCTTAAGTTTAATTACCTAGATAAATATATTAATTGTGTGGCAGAATGAATGATCCGACTAGATATATTGGAAATGGTGAATTTTAATTAATAAAAATTATTTTAAATATTTTTATTGAAGTACATAATGAAAAAATGCATTTAATAATTTTATGTAACTGACCAGGAAATCGATTCTTGTATTGAATCGGGGAATATCTATTTTGTATTACGATGAATACATGAATATTTTTATTATATACGCAAGTTTTGCCAAGTGACTTAAACTTACTTAGAGTAATTAAAAAATAACATTATTACACTTCAACCTCATATTCCAATCATTGTCTCGGTTTCGGCTCGACATCTAAATGTATATGAATTTAAGAGTTGCATTGTTATAAGATTTTATTTTGCATTATTACAAATCTGGCGTCACGGAACCATTTAGATTTGTATGAATCATGAAACCATTGTTATCAAATGAGTTTCTGCGTACGAGTTTCTTCTCTTCTATTGTTTATATGAAGGAACCAACTATCTCGTTTATAATTTAAAAATCTTTGTTAAACAGCAAGTATCTCTTTGTCAAGTCTAATTTTCTCGCTGTAAGTAACCGCTTGTCCTTTTAATTTTTTGTGTAAATTCGTTCCGTATTAGACTCTCGGGCCAGGGCATTGTTTCAGTTAATATTTTTGACTTATCCGAGTCCATGTAAAATATAGAGTTCCGAATAAAGACGTAGTAAACTGATTCTCGTTTCTTACTAATATCATCTGGCACTGTCATAGAAAATAGATGTCTTTTGAAGACTAAAATGGATCTTCAAACGACCTTGAACTTTGTGCTGTGCAATATTAGCAATGGATTGAAATGAATTTAATTTAGGGTTTATTAATATATTTAGGTTAATTAGTTTTATCCTCGATGAAATCGACCTAAAATGTAAAATGCGTTATAAGTCTGTGTTCACCGCTCATGGCCCAACTTATATTTGTAAGCAAGACTGATGCGTGAATTAATAGTGATAGTTTAATTTAAATATTTATTTTTATATTATGTCCTCACAGCGGGTTTTACCAAGTAGGCCAGCTTCGCTTAAGCCTGTTCTTTTCAGGACGGGTGAGGGGTCGGAAAGCACTGGTTTAAGGCTTAAGTTCACATTGGGTATCCAATGGGGATGATGACTGGAAAAAAAAATATTTATTCCGTCAGTTAGATAATAGAAAAATATTAGATACGTATTTTTTTTACTTCTAATTTAACAAGAAAAGGCTTGGATAACAGCCATTAAAGTTGAGGGAGGGGACTCGATACGCCACTGTTTTGAAGAAAATGTACAAAAGCGACGTCATGTCATTGTGACGTCATGTGACATTTAAACTCAATGTATTGCCGTAATTTAATGATTACGCAAAAAAATACGTGATTAATATTTTTCAACAATCTACCTGACGGACAAAAAAAAATATTTTGTCGCCACCCCTATTTGAGGTACAGTGACTTTAGTATAGTGAGTGAGATGAAATGAATATCTGACGCATCGTATTTTTCACCTTAGGGTTGTTGAAACAAGACTCATTTTTAATTCCACGTTCGGTCATCACTGGAATGAGTGCTAACTCGTTTGAATTTGCCACTAGAGGCGCTAATATAGCGTGAGGTCTTTAATATCAAAACCTACTATGTTGGTTAACTACGCACATTTCTTTTAAAATATACGAATTTTTCGCTTATTTTATGGTATGTGATTTATTATAGCGATTATTATGAATTATGATTATTATGAATTGTAAATATAAACAACTTGACATTCTTATTATACTTAAATTATTTGACATAATGATTTGACCTGCATGATTTGGACCTTTGTATTTAGTTTGAAATGCTTATTGTAAAAGGCTTGCAGAGTGTAACTTTCTGAGTTATATGGCCAATTATTTGATTTGATTATGAATTAGGGGTCAATGAATGTCAGTGCAGAGCTAAAAAAAAGAAGTGCAGAGTTTAAGCGGAATGAAAGAACAGCTAAATCGTAGGTTAGTGTACAGTGGTCATGTTTAAGTTATATGTTGTGTGATTTAAGTTCAATCTTGTTGTAAACAAATTTTGACAGGATCTCTCGCGATTTTAGCGCCGTCTGGTGAGCGAAACAATGGAAGCCCTCATTGTTATCGTCTGCTCTGCGCAGATTAATTTGGCACTTACTATATGTAATACAGTTCAGCTCTAATATTGCTTGGTTTTGAAATGAAATTGCTAGATTTTTCTTGGAGATATTTTTTCCTCCAATCTGCTTCTCCTGTCACACAGGTTTCTACCGAAACCAATTCAGGCTGCAGTCTCTCACAAAATTAAAATACAAATTGTATTAAGAATCTTAAGACTCACATGTTAGTTCATGATTTTGTGTAGAGAGAATAAATAAATGATTTTTATTATTAAAAGAATACTGGAAATGCAGACTTTTGAAAAATAAAAATTAAACAATATATAGGATTTTAGTTAGGAACATTGAAGATCTCCACTAGTGATATAGCTGGGTATCATAGATATGATGGTAGTTATATAATCTATAGATTATTTTAACTATGTGATGTAATCAGTAATTTTATATACTAAAAGCATAGCTAATCCATTGTTACAAAGAAAAGTACGGAGTTCCATCGGATTCAGAAGATGTAAGTGGGCGGTTATTTGTGTTCATTTGTGCGAGGAATTAGAATAAGGTATTTGACACTATAAAAAATAAGTGGCATATTATGGCCATCCTGTTAGATAATAATCTAATAAAGTTTATTTCTTAAAATATGCAGACAAAATATGTTTAGCTTTAGTAAAATAACCTTAAGAAAATGCAACATTGTTAGGAATTTTAATGAACGACGAAAACGCCCTGTAATTGGTTGTCGTCGTAACCAATAAGAGGTTCTGTTTACCGGAAGGTGACGTCACAAACACGACATGATCAGCGCCATTACATAGAGCTGCGATTTTTTGCGCGATTTTGGCGATTTATACTTTAACAATTATTTTCATCGAAAATATAACGGATTCTTATGTATATGTCAATATGTTTATAAATTATCAAACAACCATTTAAAATAGGTTTCAGAAAAGCGTCAAATACCCTATTGGAATAAATATCAGTAATTGAAATTTGTGTTGTCCCGTCTTGTAAGTAAATGTATTCGACTTTTAGAGCCTTATTTATGCTTTACAACATATTTATTTTATGATGTTGTTTTTTTAAATAAATAAATAAAAAATACAGCCGATTTGTTTATTATTTATCATTAACACTAATTTTGCGCACATTTATGTTTTTATTATCCACTTTTCTATGCTTGTCGGGATGTTCCCAACGCTAGTTACAAGCTCTTTCGCTGTATACCTCACTAGACGCACGCGTCTAAGTTGTGTAAGCAAGAAATAAACCTCTACATTATAAACTAGCGTTTAATTGCAAATCCACCAACGGCTGAAAAATGTTCTACCACACTGTTATTACACTTACTGCTATATACCACACTGGTAGAGCGTAAAATATCTGATCGTGATTTCCCTGAAGCATTAAAACGATTATATTTGATAAATATTGCATTTACAATGCTATATTGATATTTGTAGTAGAAACATATCGACGCTGGAAAGCAAACACGTAGTAACCTGCAAAACCAAATTGGATATTTAGAATGGAAAATCTTTATATTTTTCCAAGAAAAAATATCTTCTTTCCGTATAAATTGACTAAGAAACACCTAATTTGTTACCATGGACGTTTATAGGAATTATTTATCGAAAATAATTAAAGTTTTTCTGCTCTAAAGAACAATTTTGGTTTTGCGGGTTACTACGTGTTTGCTTTCCAGCCTCGATATATAATACAGCATTCGCTAACGGGTACCAACCTCATCTTTGGTGACCATAAAATAAAAAACTATCTATATGTCGATAACTAAACAAATAGGGATCAGGCAAATTTTAAAAGGAAATCAATAAGGATGCAAATAATACATTTGTGTAAAATATGTCTAATGTAGAATCAACAGCACGTCAGACTACAAATTGTTAAATTTCTCCACTTGCTTTTAAATCTTACCATGTTTGGAGTAGAGATCAAAATCAATTGCAGAAATTTGACAAATTGTGTTAATCTGACTGTGAATCTACAGCCATATCTACATACTCGAAAATAATAAAGGAAGTATTGTACAAAAAATAGTTCTCGAAAGCGGTTAATAGCTAATCTTCATTCTGATGTAATAAAAATAAATTGAGTATCGAAAATTAATAAATATTAAAAAAGTTTCTTATGAATATCTCACATTCAAATTCAAATTTTATTTGAATATAGTGATTTACTCAGACCAAATAAAAAGTAAAGACGGAGTTCGCTGAATAACAAAGTGAAGCCGATTTTTAGCAATTGTAGTGTGCGTGCCAGTGTGACCATAGTCATTAAAAACACCCCAATAACTTAACGTTACGACGTTATAGAGTTAACGTTAACGCTATGCTATTTAATAATATAATGTAAATTGTCAATATCAGCATAGATATTCTAAAATCTTTAAGAGTAGGTAATTATAATTGGAGGTCATACATTAGAGAGACTATTTAACTAATTTTTAAGTTAAGTTTGAAAACTTCCACTATGTTAACTAAAATTATATATATATCGAAAGTTTGAAACCTTTGGATATAAGTTGCTTTATTGAACGTAACCCTTTTATAGTATAATACATATCATCGCTCTTAAAATGAGTCGAACAAACTACGTTGCGCGAAGTTGGATTCCATGAAGGTTCATTTCGACTATTAGGAATGACTGAAATCCACTTCACATTTTGATGTCGGTTTGGAAATGAAAAAATGTATGCAAACCCGTTTAGTAAAAATAAAGAAGTAATAATTTAAACCCGTTTTTTATTTTTTACTTCCTTATTCTAACACTTCAATATCTGTGATCTGGACCTCTATGTAGCATTTTGAATGCAGAATTTATTATAAATATCATTTCCATACAACAAGAAAAAAAATACACAACGTAATTTGTGTTTTATTAGAAATAACGCGTTATAAAATTAAAGTTACTTGATTTCGGGGTAAATAATAACGTTTAACGATGGTAATATTTGGCTGAGGTTTTGTGTTCCAAGCAATTACTTAAATTTAATGTTTAAATTACTGAAAATGTAAGTTTTCCGCTATACTTATGTGTGAAATGTGATTCCATCCTGCTTTTTATTTTTTGAGGATTGGTTTTTACAACCTTTTACTACATAATTCGGCAGTTAGTAAGAAATTTTTGTTTTTTTTTATAATGAAACGTTCCGCACACTGTCTTTAGTAAGACTGATAAGGAAGGCGTAGTTTCGTTATGTATGTGTGCCTGAAACTGTGTACGAATACGCCGAGGCGTAGTTTTGACGGCTTCACTTTTCTGTTAGGTAAAACTCCGTCTATACTTTTTATTTGGTCTGAGGTGATTTATATTTATTATGTTACATGAAAAGGAACAATGTTTGGTTTATATGTCAACATTAGTGATGTTGAGCCAAATTATTGGAAGCTCGTAACTAATTTATCGTCCTAACATCTTGTTAGATATAGGCATTTTTAAAGATTCCCCAAATGCGGAATTTCTGCTACAAGGTGTGATTATTATAAATAAGATCGTTTAGCTCGTGGTTTTTACTGATGTTTCAAAACTCTCTAATGGAGAATATATAGGTTCCACTGTATGGATCCCCAGATACAAAATAATTCTCAATTTCAAATGTCCTTCTGACACCTCTGAGAAGAGACTGATAAGAGTCCTCATAGTCTGGATCTCAGGATATCCCAGTGTAATGCGCAATGCGACAGTTGATTCAATTTGTAGGATATTTAAAGTTACAATCCCACATAAAATTCGGGAGTCGAACCCGATATTAACGTTCAATTTAGACAGCACAAAAAGACACAGTTCACGAGAAAGAAAAGAAGCACAAGCACTAAGACTGAAGGATATATTGATTACACACAGAATAGAATTGTATTACATGAAAAGATATATATGAAATAGCAAAAATTAGCAAATTATTAATTATTAGAGAAATGACGGTCATGCGCAAGCAAAGCTATAAGCAGAGTAGTAGTTCTTGTTCGGCCGACGGCGCGACGTCGCGAGCAGGCACGCATCATCACAAAGCGAGCGCGTGCGACAAGGATGCGCATACGCCCGGCGAGCAACGTAATGCGTGACGTCAGTCGCCACAAATTATAAAAGAAGCAGCTTACATTGGTGACATTTCCCATCCCGAAATATTTTCCTACGGCCTAATCTCCTCGGCAGTCAAACTGAGTTCATGTTCATAGAATGCTCAATGGAAAGCGTCATGTAAAAATGTAGGAAAATATTACGCCGATATTCAAGATGCCATTCCTCTTAAACACTATAGTCGTCTACGGTTAAGGCATGCAAACACTTCCGTTTTCTTGGATCAACGATAGCTCATTTTATGAATGCGGGTTGAAGATAGGAACAGTCGACTATATTTTTATAAATAGGGTATTTGACACTTTTCTGAAAACTATTTTAAATCGTTGTTTGCTTCATTATAAATACACTGTCATAATATTTCATTGGAATCTTTTCTATTTTTGTTGAAAATAATTGTTAATATTTAAATAGCCAAAAGCGCGCGAAAAACGCTGCTCTATGTAATGGCGCTGATCTTGACGTCACAGGCCAGTAAATATGTCAAATCGATAAGTAACAACTGTCTTTAGAGTAAATTGAAATAATAATTTAGAAGAGAAATTGAAGTCGTAGTGCGTATTTTTTACGTTTTTTATTTTCCTCTGCTCTGGTTTTCTTTAAAAAATGAGCCACAAGTGGTGTGTAGTGCCACAATGTACTAATAATTCTATAAATAACAAACAAACTTCGAGTCTAGTAAAATAGATTCACAATCACAATAGTATAGTAGCTATATAGAGTAGAGATGGATGATAAAATTAGGTAAGGATTCGCTAAAAGTATTGAAACTTTTTTATTTCATATCGATACATTTGAAGGTTTTCTTTTTGGTTTTTAACTTTGTCATAAGCGTTTTACGACTCATTTATAATTGTTGACAGGGCTCGCACTTTACAGTCTGTCGACCTACAGATGGATGAGACATTAGTACGATAAAGAATGTTCTATTTTTTTTATATACATGCATATAGAATGTCTGTTCACTAAATGGATGGTATTTGATAATTAGGTATCAGATACCGATGATTTTTTAAATTAGTTTTTAACTTGGAGAACAGTATATATCATCAAAATCGACTTTGTAATTTTGAATTATTATATTAAAGTTCAAGAAATGAGAAAATCATGTAAGTTGCTCTTTTTTAAATTGCTGGCGTTTTCCCTATTTCTTGTATTTTTCAAAAAGCTTAGTAAATGATTCTTTCTTTCTGTATTTCTTTTTGGTAGTTAGAGAAGCGGCAAAGTATTCTGTTATCAGTAAATTTCTATAAAGTACTCGATACCTACAGGCATCGATATTTTATGTATCTTTCAACACTACTTTGACATGACAGCTGATGACGTCACAGGCCAGTAAACAGATTCGTGATTGGTTGTGACGACGACCAATTATAGGACGTTTTCGTCGTTGAATAAATTCCTAAAAATATTGCATTTTCTTTACGTTATTTTACTAAATCTAAACATGTTTTTTCTGCAGATGTTAAGAAATAAGCTTTACTAGATTATTATCTATCAGGATGACCACAAAATGCAACTTATTTTCGATAGTGTCAAATGCCCTATTATCCAAAATACCCCTCTTCCTTGTATGACGTCATTCCCTCATATACCTATTTGATATATGTATATCGGAATCAAATAGGTATATGTAAAAAGAAACACCTCTTTAGTGTTTTAAGTTAGGAGAGGTAATTATTGTTTTGATGATGTAAATGATACTCTCGATAATGTTCTACGGTGGTTTGATAATAATAACTTAAAGCTTAATTCAAATAAAATGAAATGAATAAAGTTTGTATTATCTAATGTGAGCCATGTTAGTGCACTTATAAATGTAAATAGTGAAAAAGTTAAGTTGGTGGAATCGACAAAATTCCTTGGTATTACACTAGATTCCCGACTGCTATGGGATCCTCATATTGATAACTTGTCAAGTAGACTGAGTTCTGCAGCATTTGCTGTTAAGAAAATTAGATTCTACACAAATGTTGAAACGGCAAGATTGGTATATTTTACTTATTTTCATAGTGTAATGACGTGTGGGCTATTGTTGTGGGGTTCTACGGCTGGTATTCAAGATATTTTTATTCTACAAAAGAGAGCTGTTCACGCCATATATGATTTAAGGTGCAGAGAATCTTTCAGAGAAATATTTAAAGAAATAAATATTTTGACTGTTGCCTCTGACTGCATCTATGAAAATATTATTTACGTGAGAAAACATTACGATTCCTTTACAAAAAAATATGTGTTCATAATCATAGCACAAGTAATAAAAATAAACTTACCGTCCCAAGTTTCAGACTTCAGAAAACCAGAAGATCGTTTCTGGGTAAACGCATTGTTGTAATTTTTTATACCTACTTTTATTAATTAATACTTCCTCGTACTTGGTTGTGGTATATCTATGACAGCATTTTTATGAAACATTTTGAATCATTAACGACGTTAGTTAGTTAACTGACATTGCTGATGCATTCCAATGCGAAAGACTTGTATCTGTGAAACGACATTTTTCGCAGTTGCTTGTGAAACGGCACCTAGTTGACATGCAATGCGATTGCGACAAAGTACTAATGGCGTAAATCTATGTTTGATTTGAATGAAATTTATTAATTGAAGAAAATTTCAAGAAATTCAGATACCGGGATAGTATAGTGGCATTGTAAAATCTATGGTTTTAAACTAAATCATTAAACACAAAAATGTTAATTCATAACTTCATAAGCAATCATTCAGTAGATCATTCATTATATAATTTAATGTTTCCCAACCCTATCAGATGTCAAGTTTTATGTGTCAACAAGTTTACCTGTATAAGATTATATGTTAGGTAAATGTTTTTACTGGTATAAATACCCAATTGACTTGTAAAACATTGAGTGACCGAAGAATTTCCATAGTTTTGAGCGACTTATACTGTACTCTTTAATTGGAAAATAGTTACAATGTCATCTCTATGGACCGACAAATATGCTATACTGAGAGATTTGTCGTTAGCCCAGGGTTGCGAGGTTCCTGCTGACCTCGAGGCGACTCTAGCTGCTGGGGACAAACCTCCAGCTCTTAACATCGTCGAAGGTGAGAGTGACTTCTTGACTACATTAGAAACTACAAGAACAGAAAACCATACCTTATGAAAAAGTTGAGAATTTACTAAAAATCCTTTATTTTCAGAGACTGAAGAAGAATTCTTTAAGAAATGTAACATTAGTCAAGATGTTGAAGGCACTTTTGCTCCTGACTTTGATCTTATTCAACACATGTTGAAAATGGTACATTTATCATGCTAGTTTTATAAGTAAAAAAATCTATACTACTCATACAAATTAACATGATTCCTGAAAGACTATTTTGTTTTAATGAATATGATATTTTGTCTATTTTCGAAATGCTAATATGACTCGAAAAATAATTGTTTCTCTATTTTCGATGCAATCTAGACAGGACATGATGCACAGACAGGACAGGACATGATCTTCATGGCTATGATGTTGAATTTTCTTTTAAGGTTAAATACAAAAGGACCTCAGGTGTCATGTGAACTCGTAAGAATTGTACATAAGAAATTTTTGTATGTGTAATTTCAGATTCAACCTGATTCATCAGATTCAGAAGATAATAATAGTACTGTTCAAACATGTAAACCAGACTCTGTTGTAAAGAAAAATACTGAAAATAATGTAGACTCTGCAATAAAAGCACCAGATAAATCAAATAAAATGGCAAAAATAGAGAAAAAAGTAAGGAAAAGGAGGGAGAATGTTGCAGTTAATTCTATTTTGCAGGGATTTCTTGGTGTTAAACCAGTGGCAGATACAAAAACAGAAACAAAAATTGAAGCAATGAAACTTCTGAAGCCGATAGATTTTATGTCGGTTAACAATGGAATTGTGAATTCTGTTACAAAATTAAAATCACCAGAATCTTCACAATTAAATGAAACTAAAAAAGAAATAGACTCAAATGATAAGACAAATAATTGCCAATCTAAATTGTCACCAATGGACGAATCTATTGTGAAAGTAAATGGCTGGTTATATTCAAATAAAAGTAACAGCTCTGAACATAAAAACAATTTGTTGGAATGGCAACCGAATTCTATGTTTAAGAAGAAAAGTGTTACCACTAAAAGTTTGGAAAGTGATAGTGTTAAGTCTTCACCAGAACAGAAAAGTGAAAAGAAACCAACAACTATGTATCAGCCATCTACACTAGCCAATGAATACTATGAGAGATATATAGAACGAAGTAAAGTCAACACAATTGTCAGAGAAGATGTTTGGTCAAGAGCTGAACGAATAATGAAAGAATTGGATGAAAAAAAGTAAGTTAAAACCTATGTACATTATTAAGCTAAGGAAGGTTGATGATAGAACACTACTTCTTATCTGTAGACAAGTTTTATATAGGGGAAATCCTAAACAACTTTTTTGTTGATATTGTAGCTACTAGCTGTCCCCATGGTTTGGAAAGTAACTAAGTTACTCCTTATTATATCAACTATGTTATTTTATAAAATGATGTACGAGTACTTTACTAAATAAACTGCATGCATTTACTTAAATGTAGTTATTTTCATATTTTAGCTTTATCATTACAACCCATATAATCCATGGAATGATACATTACAAACCCTTTTTAGGAACATGCAATTTCTGTGTTTCAGGAAACTTGAAAATGAAGTAGCACCTGTAATCCAACAGCAGATGGACACACTAACAAGTAATTAAACATAGATTGTGGCATGTGGTACTTTTCAATTAATTATAAATTTTATGCAAAATAATTATATGAAAATAATTATAAATGACCTTCCCTACGGCCCTTAAAAGATTACCCATAACCCTGAATATCTGTCACTATTGATGTTTGAGAAAAACATTGCACTAACAATATTGGACTTTAGGTAAAAAGTACAATGGTAAAATGCTAGTGGTAACATTAGCAAAATAGACTTCCATATCTACCAATACGGCGATTAACGGGCGTTCAATTAAAATGTATAATGACTCTTGTTACAATAACCATAATGTGTAAATAAATGCATTAGGTGGCGTAGTAATTGGTGGATTGCCACATGGCGTGACACTTGAATCATTCTGATTGGCCGACATTTGCCGCTCTTTGTAATTTAACCTTTTATGCAGGTACATCAGTGAGCCACTTTCGTTTTATCTTACTACACGTATAATAGAAGGACGTATGCTTATTAGGAAAGATTTCAGAAGGGTATTTAAACAATACTTCTGACAATGAATTTTTATTTCAGGCTATGACGAAATTCAGTTGCCACAACATCGTCATTTGCTGACTGGCGATTGTATTATTTGTGAGATTTTCAAGAAGAACGGAGTAGATATAGATTTGGAGTCCCTGCAAAATACTGATTACGATCTCAAATGGTTGGTAAAAGAGAATTCGAGCCGCAATAAATCATAGGAAATGTAAGAAGGAAAGATTTTAAGGAAAAAGTGGTTGAAATGAATTTATATTACTCATGTTGATGTGGTTATTATTTTGTGTTGAGAACTGGTAACAATACGTGAAAGTGAATTCCTCAAACAATTCGTAAAAGTGAATTTTAAAATTTTATCGATTTAAGAAAAGTGCATATTTGCACTTTCTTGAAAAAGAAAGTGAAATTGTGATAAAATTGAACAAAGAATCTTAAAAGATTCTTATTTCAAGTTGGAATGTTTTTATGGTGAAATATAGATTTTATATAACTATAGTTGGCTATTTCAAAGTATTCAAAATAAAGAATTGTTTTATTTACAAAAAAAAATATATGAAAAAAAAAGATTTAATATATGTATTTAAGCCACAGGCTATGTTATTTTGATCTCTAGATTTTATAACATTTTCTTCAAAATTGTGATAAGTCTTGTTTGTTTACAGACAGTACAAGTTATTTCTGGAGGCTAAATGTTTTCAATTTATTTTAAGCCTTAAAATGTTGCTATTTAAGTTGAAAATTTATCTGCGATTATCCACGCAGAAATTGATTTGAGCTCATCACGAGAGAAAATAATTTTATAATAATATTACCTTTTAAATGTGATGCCATGTCATGGTAAAACGAAAAATTAAAAAAGTTAAGATTTTTTTTTCTTGAAAATTAGGAAATTCTAAACTTATAACTTGATTTCAACACCGATCAATCGGCATTGAGCCGGCATGACCATAACCCACTGTGGTCCGTTGTTCATATTAGATTCCATCTATAGGAAAGGCCTGTGCCTTAGCAATGGAGGCATTAATAGGATTTAATTTAATTATATAACACGTTGTTTCCAAAGGCAGCTATATAAAGACAAGAATAATAAGAGAAGAATAAATGAGTTTCTAATGCGAAAAATGCCAAGTAAACGTTAAAAAGAGACAGCTGTGTGCGTCAATAGCACTATCCCTCTTGAGCCACTGTTGAATCGCGTGCAAGACTAATGCGAGTAATCGCCTGTTGCTCTGTTGACATTCGCATGTTATGCTGTTTTAAACTCATATGGCTATTGACGTCAGAATTATTATTAATGACGGGGTGGATACCATGAATCTTAAATTTAACGAGACCCCGAATGTTCACGCTTTTGAAATCGCCATGATCACGGAGTTAACTGAAATTTTGCGGGTAGATGTTATTGGCAGATATATCGATCTAACCACTTTCGAGTTCTCTTACCTTCAACACTTGCAACAGCGCTAAAATAGCGGGGCCTCGATGTTAGTGCTGTTGATCGAAATATAAGGTACAATCAGTGAAATTTCAATTTGGTTTAAAATGAGGTTTAGAAATTTGACAAGAGTTTGAAAACTACTGAAGAAATCGATATGTGTGTACATTGTATCGATTTCGTTATTAATAATCATTATAATTCGATTATATTACGAATGTCGAATTTTTTTATTACTTTTTTTGTTAGGGTTGGTGCATGTTTGATGGTAGATTGCGTATCGTCTGTTGCGGAACGTCAGAACTGAAATGATCGCGTCGGTGTACACGTCGCGTACTAATTAATGTACACTTCCGTGAGACGCTTGACGGAATTTCCGTCATATTTGCATCAACCTTTAGAAAGATCGATGTTACGAATCTAATGTGATTGAAAACATGTTCCTTTGTATTTAATGTATAGTAACGAAAACCTTCAATAAAGATGTTATTGAAATGCAATTTGTTTATTCTTTTAACGGTAAATTAAAAGACAAATGCATAACGAACAAAACTGATAAAGTTGTGCGCTTGGTTTTGTTTGAATTAATACAATTACGGCCTTCTGTCTTGTATTTAAAGCATAAAATCGAAAGGAGACGTTACTCGCTCTAATATGTTGTTAATTGAATAGTTTGTGGTATTGGATGGGTCAGGGTTGCCATCTTTTGAGAAATAAAATTCGGGACATTCTAACGTTTATCAGAAGTAATCGAAATTAATTTTAAAGTATGTCATAGAAAAAAATAATGATTTAGGATGCGGTTTGCATCGCGACGGAGCCTACGTATGGATAACTAAGGTACTGTCAAGCTTTATCAAACATCTGGACTAAATTTATAAGAAAGCGTGACGCAGGATATCATTGCAGTCGGTTGTGTCCCAGAAAAGTCGGACGGGTGGCAACCCTGGGTAGAGTATTGGTTCGTTTATTAGCACAAATCATTCTGAGACTAGTGCCGGGCTGTGGCGGCTTTGAGTATAGTTAGGTATATACTCTGCCGTGATCGTGAGTACCGCGTATTTATCTATACTGGTAATTAAAGTTGAGATTAACATATTTCTCTGAGATTAAATAAATGTTCGAGATAAGGGCAGTTTATTAGTTTAAAAATACAGTCTTGGGTAAGTTTTAAAATTTGATATTTTATGTTAATATTTAAATCAAATATGTGTAGTGCTCGTATCGTATCGTAGTCGAGAGAAGTAATTACTTGAGAAAATAATATTTTCTATAAGATAATAATATTAATAATATAGATATAGAAATAATATAGAAATAATATTTTCTATAGATATTATCTAACTTAAGCAAATATTTTTTACCAATAAACGAAAATTTGAATTAATTATCAACTGCGAAAGTCATAATGTGTCATAATCTGATGTGCCGTGCATACTGTTACAACGAATGGGTGCCTAGTTTGTTTCCTCTAGCTGCGTGATGTGAAAGGTACGTTATGGCATTGGTGCCGACTGCATTGAAGTCATCGTATACTCAATAATCCGTACTGGGACCGTATGGTCTGCCTCAGTTTTACATTTTTTCCAACCGGGGTATAAAAGGGTATGTTCCGATATACACTGCGACCACTGAACAGTATGACGTCAATTTAGTATACTGGAAGCCCGTTCCTTTATAGCTAGTTATATTGGTGACTTTTTAAAACGGAACGCAGTCCAGCATACTGTTAATCCTATTTTTTGGCGCCATTGTCAATTTTGTTAATGCAAGGTGAATATAACTAAAGATTCCCTCTTTTCAAAAGAAAATATTATAAAATAGTGTATAAAAAAATTATTTATCAATTAAATCCATCTTATAATAAACGTAAGTATTTTTTTTATGTTTATTTAGAAACTTATCATTTTCTGATTCTGTTTCGACTGATCACGTGATCAAAAGCACTTCGAGCACCTTACCTCGAAATCTCCAGTGCTCCAGTGCAGTGTATATCGGAACATACCCAAAATCATATTGCGCCCTTCCAACCCGCTTCCGCTTCCGCGCGCTGCTAACACCAGATGTTGTCTTACATATTTTTCTAGTGACTTTATTTCACTTAGGTACATACATACTTTGAAAACATATCCGCCCCAACATAGTCTCAATGTGTAACTTAAAGTGTACTTAGAGTGAAGGTCTGTGCCAAATGAGGGGTATGGAAATAGTTTGGACGAATCAAAAGTGCTGTACCATCTATATCAGTTTATTTTAATAGATTTTTTTTTCATTTCAAATATAAAACCATACAAAATAGTTCCAGTGATTAGAGCGTCTGGTCTGCGATACGGAAGTGAAGCAAATTTCGCAATGGCTGGTTATGGGATGGGTGACCAAATTTATAATCTCGAACTCCTCCGCGCGTCAGAAGGCACTTTTAGCCGTTCGTTCTAGTTGCAAATGGTGTCGTTAACACTAATCCAATCCGCACTGGGTAACAGCCTATTTTTCCTATTCCATTCGATGCCATCGGGGAGGCCTTGTCCCAAGCACACATGACGTGGCATATTAATATACTATGATAATACATCAAATAATCAAATGAGGGCAAAAAGTACATAGGTATAGTTTTTATATTATTGAACCATGGATCCAATCTCGACCTCTCGGTACTTCGTACAAATAGAATTGTTAAGTAGCCCCTTTTAAAAGCCCGAATGTACTCCTTTTTCAGCTCATCAAACATGGTACATCACAATATTCAGATCGGATTAAGCAACATGCTGAGCGAAGAAGTAAGTGCCTTAGTTAAATATTACATAGATCTGAAAGCTTACTCTGTTTCTCCGAAAACGAAATTTCGTCTATTTAGGAAAAGCTAAATACAACTCCAAAAACACGTATTTTTCTTCTTTTTTATGATGCAATAAACTATCTATATTGTCGCCAATTACTCCTATTGCATTATAAAAAAGAAAGTAGTGTAAGGTTCACTTGAACTTCACACTACTTCTAATGCACAGATAATCTTCATATGATTTTAACCAAATTGTAAGATGGTTTCGAAATTTCCGACGAACAGAGTAGGCCCTCTGTAGTTAAGTACTTTATGGTAATCATTTATTTATGTAAAGGAAGGTGACACTACCAACTCGAGCCGAGTTAATATCTAAAGATTAGTACACATAACTGCGATACGATATCTCACTGTAAAAATCTGCGATACTTCGAGCTCTCGTCGCATCGCAAGAATTTAGGTAGTTATTCGCATCACTCGTGTAATAAAACTTCTTGATTTAACCACACTTTCTCACTGCTTCTGGACACACGTCTTCCCGCCTCTGCGTCTCGAACATATTGTAATCTTGTCTCGAACAATAATGCAATGCCCGTAAAACTAGCAACTACCTTTCAGCAAGCACTCAAGTCAGTATTTCTTATTATGCCAACACAACATCCATTTCCGGACAAGTTTTATTTTTTACTTTTGTTCTGTGAATAAATTAATTTGTTAAATTAAAAGCCTTATTTTACAATTGCATTTTACAATATTACAAGGCTATTCTAATTACTTATAAATAGATTGACTGTTCAATGAAAAGACAAGAACAAAGTAAAATTTATGTTTAAAAATTTCTTTAACGTTAAATTCAAATTCTTAACAAATAATCACAATAATTTTAATTTCAAAAGTACTAGAAATTTGTTTATTTGAATAAAGATATTTTGTTTTTGAGTAATTCGTGTAAGTTACGTCTTACTTGTACACGCCTGCCTGGTGGTCTATCTATACTGTTATTTGTTAAGTTTATATAAAAGGGTTCTTCATCTCGAACCGTGGAAGCGGAACGGAGATCACATGCTAGCCCCACAAAATCGCAATCGCGTCGCAAATTCCTTTCTCGCCGATTCGCAGCTGTCTGTACGAGCCCTAACAAAGGAGATACATTAACCCTGTGATATTCTTTATTTAGATGAGGCATTAATCCGAGTTTATTTACACTAGATTATATAAACGTCTTATTTAACATGATTACACTAAAGAGTGCTAATAAAGATTTTATATATATGTTTATTCATATATTATCATATCTACTTTAAACTCGTAAATACTTATGAATCTCTAATAGGAATGTCTTTAAATAAAAATTTGACCTTTTCTACAATTACTTTTAATATGTGTGCCGAAGCCTAACCTGTCTTAGCCTTACCGGGATAAATTTCACAGAAAAAAAACCGTATGTTTTTTGTTAAGTCGCCTGTCACGCAACATCTTTTTTTTCCAATCACGATTTACCTACCTTTGTTACAAATTTAGAAACAAACAAATTGATTTATAACAAGCTACGAATCTTAGGATATTGACATTCGTTAATTGCTTGAATTGTTAGTGTTGTTTGAAATACGATAAATCTTAATTATGTATGTAAACCTGGCTTTAGTGACGGCGGAGTCATTAAAACGGCGCGTGCAAACAGTAAAAAGAATTACTCATGATATACTTATGGGATGACAAAGTTGATCTGTTACATTCTACAAAGTCTGATCTCGGGAGAAGGCAACCTGGAAAATTTTCTGTTACAGGAAGAATTTTATTATAAAAAACGACCATGCGTAGGTAATAGCGAAATTAATGTATCTTAGAATATCTTAAATTGGAATATTGACGGTTGCATCTCAATTTATATATAGTTATATACTTTTTGTCCGGAACAATATTAATGTGTATACCAAACATAGTGATGTACACAAATTTAATACTAGAAATGAAAACAAGCTAGTAATGCCTTCTTACAGGTTACAAAAGATATTAGGTTCTTTCATGGGTCAAAGTATACAATACTTTAATAAGATCCCCAGTGATGTATTAGATTTGCCAATAAATCATTTTAAAAGTCATATTAAAAATTGTCTACAAAGTAAAGGGTATTATACCGTTAAGGAATATCTAAATGAGAAAAAGGCATGGTGTTAAATATTTTAACTTTATTGTACTTACTTTCTAATATTGTAATGGAAAGTGACTTCATATTCTAATAAAGTCACTTTTCAATAAGACTTTTCTGTGTGAAATAAAACAGGGAGAAAAAAACAGCCCTTGCTGAGTTTCTTGCCGGTTCTTCTCAGTGCAAGGTCTCCCGCCGTAGTCTTGCGAACCGATGGCGTAGTTTTCGACTTTCACAAGTGCTCTGGAAAAGTCTAAACTGAATAAATAAATTTTGATTTGATTTGATATCTTTCTTTGAAAAATGACAATAAATACTTATTCACAAACTCTAGTACATAGTTAACGTATGATAACATTTAAACATTATATGAAAACTAGGTAACTACTTCATTTTGGATTTTATTTATATTTGTAGTGAGAAAAAAGGGTGTCACTGATCTTAAGAAACAACGGTAGTTCTTGTGTGATGATAACTAAAATGCAAATGAAACGAAATGTAGCTAACACATTGCCAAATGAAAAGTTGTCCTGTACAAATAAAGATCAATTTTGCTTGGTTAGAATTTTATAGAAGCTGATTTATACGTATGTTACGTAAGTTTTAATTTGTTACAGTAAGCGAATTTAAAAACTCCACTTTGATAGAATACACGTATTCAGGTAAAGTGCATACTTCTACATCGTGGTAATGTTAGTTGCAATTTCTAGGCTACAAAATATATTCATTCAATAATATAAATGTGGTGTTGTTACAATATTTATAATGGCGAATAAACTGTGTGAATATACTGTAGTTGAAAACAGGGTGAGATATATTAAGTACAGAATATAATTCTAAAATTAATATTGAATAAATATAGGTAACTAATACATAAAATACAACCTAGGTAATTGATACTGTCCGCTAATTCGGCTGTAGGTATGATAAAGAAAGGTAGCTACTTTGGGTAGCAATATCGAATATGCTAAGCAAAACAATTTTTTTTTTACATCGTATCAAGACGTGCCTTGGTAAAACTATAAAAAAATCATGGTTTATACGAATTTCCGTATAAAATTACGTCCCTAATTTCAACCTTTTTTTCGATAAAAGGTAACTGCTTGACACCACCTGGCCCACGAGTTGGCGGCGTCATTGTATGCAATAAATATAATTTTTTATTTATCCATTTGCAGATCCCAGATGACGATCCAGTCAAAAGCAATGATGAAGTCACACGACAGAGCAATGTGACGTACGGCATCGACGATCTGCCTCCCTGGTACTTGTGCATCTTTATGGCATTGCAGGTTAGCACTCGTATTGTATTTAACAAGCGACTCGACCCGAGTTCACATGGTTTATTATCCACCTCCATTCTCCTCGAGAAATTTCGGTTAGATTCGTATTCATCTTATGACGTCACATCTTACTCAGTATATTCTTGTTACTCACCCTACTTAGGTTCCTTACTTAACTCACAACAATTATTTCGTTTTAGAGCAAAATAGATTATGCTATGCCACCCGCGGACGGACCGGGCCGACTGTGCCTTTTTAGTGTTTAGTTATCTCTTCTAATCTCGCAAAGGATCTGGATCAGGAGCGTAGCTACCGCCGTATCTGACATATCAATTTTACAGGGCTCCCAGGCTACGGGGGCCCCCAACGCTCGTAAGCTCAATTCAGGAAATCTTCCCATTTTATTTTATTATTTCAAAAATGACAAAAGTCACAAAAACCACTTTTACCACTTCCGGCTGCGGGATTTCTCCGTTTAAGTTATTAACTCAACGGGGGGAATCATACAATAATAGCACAGTTTACATAAATATTTTCTGGTGCCCTTTATAAGGGCCCTGGGACAAATTTTGATACGAGGCCAAGGCACGCTACGCGACTGATCTGTATTACGAGTACAATTATGTTTTCTATTATATTACAGCACTACCTGACCATGATTGGAGCGATAGTTGCCATTCCCTTCATCCTGTGTCCAGCTCTATGCATGCGGGAGACTGATCCTGACAGATCCAATATCATCTCAACTATGATATTCGTTACTGGTAACTACAAATATTGAAGTCTAGTTGTTTTTCCGCGACTTCACTTGCCTAAATTATATCCTATATATGATAGCCGTAGGTGAAAGAATTTTGAAATAGGCCCGTAGCGTAGGCTTAGAAACCTATTCAATCCAAGTAATACAAAAAAAAAGATACCATTTATTTAAATTGCAAAATTTACATAAGTCGCACTCCCGGTGCGACACTGTCACTTATGCAAAAATTTAGTTTTTCAGGAGAAGAGTTTTAAAACCTGTAACCTCACAAAACAATGACTTTAGAAGATACAGATGAGACGAGATGACGGAACTATGTTCCGTATGATTCATCTACAAAAGTAACATTATCGCACCAAGTAAAGGGGGGTTTAGGACAATTATTACATATTTAACTAATTTTTGTATTTTTTGCAAAAGTGACAGTGTCGCACCGGGGGTGCGAAGTATTTTACATTTACCTCCGTTTTCACTAACCTAGAACAAGGCACAAGGAAACGCCTAATCTTATGAATCACCAAAGCTTATTAGTTTAATTTAAAATATTTTTTTCCTTTATCCCATAACATATTTGTGACCTGCCATAGGTATAGCAAACGCCTAGCGCAAGGCGCCGCATAACGAGTATCATAACTTTAGACATTGCTTAATTTCGGTGGTTTAAGTGGTTTCTACTCAATGGTAAAATCCATTTTTATCTTAGGCGATTCCTTAATATTTAGGTGACAAATTTGGGTGACTCCTAAGTTTGGTGAAAACAGGAATTAATGTAATATACGAATCCTAAAAATGTAATTACTAAGACCTTTGTAGCTGATTTAGCTGGTTTCGAATTGTCGCCATTTCTGAGCTTTTAGGTTCGATTTCTAGTGGAGTCGCTGTAGAAAAATAAATTTCTATATTGTCTCGTATCTCGGCTTCGTGATACCTTCGTTGTTTCGGAATTACAACTACTAAATGTTACTTAATTTCAAATCTTAACAATGTATGTGATGTTGTACTTTTAAATATTGGATGCCGATCCAATCCTTGCTACTTCATTTTTATATTTAGCTCATTTGCAAAAATATGTCGTATCAAATATAAAAAAATATATTTAAAACTAGCTGTGGCCGTGACTTCGTCTGCGTGGGAAAGTATATCAAGAGATATTTTTCATCCTTATTTTTTGAGACTTGTCTGTGCTGATAAAAACTATATTCTTAATGAAAAATGCTTAAAAATTCCACTCGCCTCAGGTACTCTGAGATGGGACTCGAAACCACAAACATAACCTAATCTGACAGGACTGCCGAATTTTTCAAGCTTTTGTTACTTTTCCGCTACTGCGTTTTCTCAGCGTTTTCTCATCAATGTTCAGACAATCCACCTAAAAAGATATTACAAACATTTTAAATTTTCAATTAAAAGTACTGTAAAAAAGGATCCTGATGTTGGAGGTGCTGGGATTTGAACCCAGGACTTTCAGCATGCGAAGCAGACACTCTACCACTGAGTTACACCCCCCGTTAAGACAGATGTCGAAATTATGGGTCAGCATGCGTGTAACCGTTGTTTTTGTAGGAAACTTTTACTAGAACCCGTAATTGCTTTAATTTCTGGTTTAATTAAAAATTAAACTGCGTTTTTATGACATTATCGCGAGAAAGATGGAATTCGAAAAATAATTTTATTTTCATTATATTTATTTAAGAAGAAATTACTTTTGCAATGGAATTTTTCTGTTCACTATATTTTTGAAATTCACATTTTTTCCGAATTCGTCACATAAAAGATGAATACTTATAATACCTATAATATTTGTATAAAAATTTAAATATTTTTCTTTATTTTAACTATCGGTATGGAATTATGAATTGGAAATATAACAATAATATAATTTAGTTTTTAACCACAGATTATTTGGTTACAAATCGCTAAATAATAACGAGGTCCGGTCTTCCTTTCGCTAGATGGCGCTAGGGTAATATGTACAATTAGAGCATATAAAGGTTATTTCACCCTATATCAAAGGGGGCATTAATGTCAGAGCTCTTGCCATGCGTTTTGCAACCCGTGAATTGTGCGGAATGTTAAAAAAATTAATTTTATACACGCATATGCTCACTAGGCATATTGATTTGCAGCGCGGCACGCTGTCGATTGCATCTCGATTTCATTTTTGATTCGATTGTTTGCTTTAATCTAAGGTCAAACAAAGTCATTTAGAAAAAAAGGCATAGTGGCGGTCCAACCCCATTGGGGGCCCTGGGCAGCTGGCACAAGCTATAGGCTATACTTATTTGTCTACGGGGCCTCCAACCCGAATTTATAATGTGATACTTTGCAGCCATTTAGAGGAGACCCCTCAGAACTCGGAGACCCGGGGCGGACCGCATCCTCCCCTCCCCCTTAGTCCGCCATGAGGCATAGTGTATGCCACGTAAATTTAATGAAAAAAATCGGTAACATTAAAGAATTTATCAACATTCACTTAGGTATATTAAAGTATTTTAATAATGAAATTAAACAAATGACTGATTTAAAAAACACGAAACTAACATATCGCCCTATATTTTTAACTTTTCAAATTAATTGCCATTAACGAAAATATTATATTAAAGCGACTTTCTTAAGGGTCGGGCATGAGATGGGTGACCTAAAATTTATCGTATCAAGCTTCTCTGTGGTTACATATATGCTGTCGTTAACACTCATCAATATGCATTGCGTCCACGTTGTGGGTTATACACGACACATACATCATGGCATCCCGGAATCTATCCCAGCAGTGGGAGAGTTAATGCCTAAAGATGATGATGTAACTATTATGGAATAAATTACTATCTCATTCTTGAAAATAAGCCTTTTGTATTTTTTTTAATAACATGTTTATGTATTGTATATTTATAACATGTATACAAGTATATGTATCAAAGATGGTACTTCCCTTTATGTTGTTTATTAGTCCATTTGTTACAAAGTCAGACTTAAATCTAACTTATAAAATATTATATTTTATTCTTAACTAACTTCCTGCCAACGGCTTCGCCCGCGTAGTCCTATATTATACATAAAAATTTCCTTTTGAATCACCCTATCTATGAAAAAAAAGACCGCATAAAAATCCGTTGCGTAGTTTTAAATATTTAAGCATATATAGGGATAGAAAGACAGAGAAAGCGACTTTGTTTTATACTATGTTGTGATAACTGTAAACCAATTGATGTTGGTCGTCAATATGTTAATGTGTTTTTGTTATTAAAGTCATTGTTGTTATTTTTATTTGTTTTTCTTTGTTGCGACCGTAAGCTATCTAACATACACCCTTACTGGTTGCTGTATGCAGGAATGCTATACGGCATTAAGTCTGCAATTTACTATGTTGTAATAAAGATTAAATACATACAAAAATAATAAAAATAGTAGGGTGCCAGGGGCCAAGTGGATTTTTAAAGCAATTTCCATTAAGAATATTTTTAAGTATAGCATCGTGAAAACTAAATTAATCAAATATAATAATAATAAGTTAAACTTCCTTAGGGCTCATCACTTGGCTACAGGCGACATTTGGGTGCCGCTTGCCTATAGTTCAAGGCGGCACCATCTCCTTCCTGGTGCCGACCCTGGCTATACTAGGGCTGCCAGCCTGGCGGTGTCCGGCGGCGGACGTTCTCGACGCAATGTCGGATGACGAGCGCCGTGCCGTATGGACCACTCGAATGTGTGAGCTATCCGGAGCTATTGCAGTCTCTGCTACACTTCAGATGGTCTTTGGTGAGTTTTTTTTGCCTCCTTCAGTAAAAAACAAATATTCTTAGCGTATTTGAATTGAACTTATAGTTGATATCGAATTTAATACTCTTACGCTGTTAGTACACCAGCGCAATCGCAAGTAAAACTATTTCGAATGCGAACAGGGTTTTTTGCGAATATCTTTTGAGAACAAAATGATATGAAATTGTATTTATTATTTTACGACACAAAATCGGATCGGATGGCAACCCTGAATGCGAAACTTGTGCGTCTGCATAACGAAGCTTTTCGCAGTTTTACCGCGAAACCGTACTGACAAGGACGCAGCTATTTCATCGAGCTAACAATAGAGCAAAGTACATGCGAAAAGTTGCTGTATAACTGAAAAGATTTTGCAAATATTTCGCATTCGGTCGGTGTACAAACGGCGTTACTTACCGTACAATCAACTACCATTAGCTATGTGTTAGTACGTATAACCTTAATACTTGTTTCTTTCTTTCCATTCGAATAATTGGGGCAATAAGATGGTCAGTATAGTATCCTTTTTGCCATAAAGGCTATCACTGGTATTTAACATTCAATCTACATTATCGCGATTTGTGTTTGGTACTTTATTTATAAACAGATAACACTTAAAAATAAACACATATAAGACGATATCATTTAGAACAAATTTATAAGAATATTGCGTTTCTTTTAAACTAAAGTTTTAAAAAAGTTTTTTGCGCTCCCGAAATTTAACTATCTAGAACTACAGCCCAGAAAAATGTACAACTTAACATTTTTCTCTTAAATAATTTTATACTAAAACCTATTTTATTGTTGAATTATATATACTATGCAGTCCTTATTTAGGCGCAAAACTCCTTCATGGTTTTTTATAAACTTTCTAAGTGAAAAGCGGAAAACATTAATATCTTCTTTAAGCACAGTGATTTCATGTGTAGCGACGAAACTTTTGAACAAGTGGATTGTAATGTAGGAAGAATTGTTTGTGCATACCATCAAGGAAAACACCGAGTGACTTACATGGCGACATCTAATCTTTATTTTGAAATTAAGATGTAACTAGGTTGGCAAATCAATATCGGAGTGTAATAGAATCTTTATACGGTGGTAATAGTTTGTGCAAACATAGTACGCCATTACACTTGCGGCGACTCTCAAGACTTGCGAGACCAAATTTTTTATGTGCTATACACTACCCTTGCATGTTTACAGACAGATAATGCTTCATCAGCAGTTTTCTAAGTCTCCGTGCTTCCACCATGGTGAATTCAGTTTGAATAAAACTTTTTAAAGCGCGGTTTGCGGATCTCTATTTTTAATTCATGTTCTATTTAAAAAGGCTATTCTTCCCAGACCTCATTATGGTAAAGTACGTGTCACTGCTGGATTCTGCAGATTAATAGTGCAGCCTTGAAAACTTACACCAAGAAACAGTTTGAGAATTTTGTGTTTTTCTTTCATATGTTGAGTTAATTCATTGAATTTACAATCGACGGTCGCATCGTATAAACATTTTTTGCATAATTAGATGTAAAATGTCCTTCTACAACACCTTATTATTTTTTTGTAAAAGGCACAGTAAAAAAGGTTTTGCTTTTTTCTAGTCCACAAACGATTCTATCAAGACCTAGGCAGTGTTGCAGTCATTCCAGCGGTGCCGTATTCACTATCCTTACTACGAAACATTGAATATGAAAACGCCACTATGTCAGTTCGCCTCCGTAATCAGAATTTAAAGTTGGATAAACTGATGCAATACGATTTCATATCGGCGAAGCTCTTCACCGCTGCATCGGAAGACGCCTTTAAGCTTCTGTATTGAAAAATACTGTTATATCATTCACCTACGATTTGCCGATAATATCGGAATCATGGCTGAGGCTTTGGAAGAGCTCATCATATCTAACTCGTTTAGGCAGCGGTCGAAAAATTCGGAAGTGTCATTTGGAATTATTTATATTATTACGTTGAATATTTTGAGATTAAATATTTTAGTTATCAGTTTTACAGTGTATTATTTTTTTTAATTAGTATTAAGTTCCTACCATAGATTTCTGACATAGAAAAGATAATTAAGTATTAAAAAAATATATATTTACTCTCATTTTCATAATCTCTATAGGATTCTTATGATAAAATCTATGTTAATTTAAAGATAGAGAAAAATATAGGTAATTTCCCAAGGCATTTTCTTATTATTTACAAGCACAATAACGATTCTAGAGCAAAACGTTAACGAAAACACTATTTACATTCTAGATATAAAAAACTAAACAATAATTAAAGTGCAACAGCTTAGTATATAACAGTTAAGTGCATATAATGTGCAAAGATATCATACGGAAAATGAAAACAAAAAATCTCTACCATAAACAAGGTAATGTAGGTGTATTAAGTATTAAGTAACATATCTTCATTAATAAAATTTTTATATTTAAATTTATACGATTTACAATATGTGGGATTTACATGATTACAGCAGATGAATTTTTATCCAGGTTTGTACTTTTTTACATGAATAAACGCCCAAGAAGCTGTACTAGAATATAAAAACAAAATTGTTTTCCGCAAATTTCTGCTTTTCTTATAAGGGTTTTCATATAATTATATCTTTTATCGAAAGGTAATATTTCTTCTTTGACTTTGTTAATTATTGTATAATTTTAATTTGCAAGGGCTTCGAGGTATTTCAAAAAACCGTCTTTATTTTTTCCCTGTAAAGTTGACTTTTTTCACATGCACGTTTATTCGAAGCGTATGTCGAATTTTCGTCGTCCAAAGTCGACGACTTTTCTCTTCATCCATTAAAGTTGATGTCCAAGCTTAAGTTCATTATAACCTATCAAAAATTGCCTGAGAAGGGTTTCTTCATCTATGAATGCCGTTTTAAATCGAGCAAACGATGCGTCTGGTTTTCTACGATATTTTAAATCATCAACGATTTGCTGAAAATGTTCTCAACATGAGTAGATCTATTTTTATCGATTTAAATTATATTTTTATCTAAAAAAAAATATTTAGCTCGTAAAATGTGGTGCTAAATTTGTATTCAGAATTTTTTTATTTCTTTTTATGATTTTATGCTACTTGTTCCATAGTGCTCATAGTTCTTAACATAATGACTCTTTTCTATAGAACTGTTGAGATTAAAATATAGCAATTGAATATTTTAGTAATAAAAGAAAAACAAATTGTAAAAATGAATTATACAGTGGAGGTGCTGGGATTTGAACCCAGGACTTTCAGCATGCGAAGCAGACACTCTACCACTGAGTTACACCCCCCGTTAAGATAAATGTCGAAATTATGGGCCAGTTTGCGTGTAACTCGCCGTTTGCAATAAACTTTAAACCTTTTTGAAACTGTTTTTGTTTTTTTTTTAATGTTTGTGTTAACGGCTCTGGATACTGGATCTTTTATAGCTATACTAGAACCATACATAGTTTCATGACAGAATACAAAACACTAAATTAGTTCAATGTTGTTGTTTTTTAGTGAGATAAATTAATGGAGTATGGAATGAAATAAAACTGTTAAAAAAAAAACAATTGCGCGTTTCACGCGTCAATAATACTGTTTTTTTTAATTTACTGTTTAACATTTACTTTGATCATCATTATATTAATTTGTTTTGACAAAACTTGCGTATGAAAACGGTATGAAGATGAAATGGGAACAAAACGTTGTATTTTTAAACTGTACTAATATATTTTTTATATCATGCATGACTGACGTCACTTTGATAATAACAAATTGAAATTCCACGAAACAAGGAGTATAAATATATTCTCAGAGAGTTCCAATTTTCGTAATTGATTTCTATTACTTTATTACATGTACCCAGTACCGACAACTTTCAGTGTACTTCCGCGTAAATTTAATTTTCGACGCGCTGGCTGTGTTGGCTTCGATCATTTTGCCATCTTTTACACGGTAATTGTTTTTTTTTTCAATCGAATTAATCAGCAGGATGCACGGACGCGGCTACGAGCATTGATTACTAAAGCGCTTGGGTGCCATTTTGGTGACGTAATTTCGTTCAAAAATTAGTACCGTTTACAAATAAAACATTGATTGACGGGTACTCTTATTGAGTTGGGTTGTGTTGAAATGATACATAATTTTTATTATGTTTTAGATTGTTTTTGTTAAGTTTTTTTGTCACTTGTAATAGTTGACTAAAATAGCAACTGCTATTATGATTTTCACGAGTAAACCTAATTACACTAAAAATAAATATATTTAATGTCTCTCAAATAATTATTACTTGTTGCTTTGTTTAAAAAAAATGTATCGTCCGTTTGTTTTCGCATTGTTAGAGAGTAAACGATTTTTTTTTAAAGTTTCCATATACCTCAATATTAACATAAATTTCACCTTTTCCAACAATTAATGCAAAAATTAACAAACTAAAGGTTATTAAATTATTTTAACAATATTTAGGCATTATATATACATTATATATTCATTAGGCATTATATATACATATTTCAATAATTAATTATTATTTTTAAGATGTAGAAAATTCCATCCCTATTCGATTCCATCCATCGGGAAGGCCCCGGCAGTGGGGATATTAATATAGGCTGGTGATGGTAGCCTATAATTCATTTAGTTTAATCATTTATTTATTTATTTATTATAATTGAAACCAACAGCGTTACAAATAATAGTATAGGTTATAACAATTAGCTTAACATTAAGGCCAATAAAAGGTTTCACATCATCAAACATTTACACGTGTTTTTTACAGATACCGATCATACAATAGTAAAAGTGGTATTTCTATTGCATTTCTCTTATTCAACTTGACTTTTCAATATAAGATTGACAAAAATCATAACCAATGATGATTAAAACCAATTAAAACAAATTATAGTCTAATTTGTGCGACAGAACTGTCACCTTATTTGTACCAGTGTCCCACCAGTATCTTTATTTGTAAATTACGACGAGATATTATTTTCTTAATGAAAAATGTTTAAAAAATCCCCTGCTCTAACCACTGAGTTACCCAAGACCTAATAGGACTGACGAATTTTTCAAACACTTGTTAGTTTTTCGCTGCTACAGAGCGTATTTCACCAATGTTCAGGCAATCCACCCATACAGCCGAAATAAATATTTTTACAAATATTTAAACTTTCGATAAAGATGAAAATATATTTTAATTATTATATTTGATTAATTTTACATCCACAGTACTAAGAGTATTTTGAACTGGTACCAGAGGGCCAGGGACGTATTGGATATTTTAAGTATTTTTCAATAAAATATTTTTTCAGTATGGCATTGTGGATGCAAAATGGATCAAATATAAAATATAATAATGGGTACTATTCTTTTTTTTTTTGGTCACTGATAAACATAAAGCAGTATTAGTAACTACAACATGAGTACAAGCTAGCAAACTCAATATCATTACAACAATAAGTTTATTCATTTGAAAAAATGCTTTGCGAACTATTCCATTGTGATATGACGTATAAAATATTTTTTTTTGGTGTGGGAACTTTTTATAAATATTTTTAAAATTATTGGATTTACTTTCTTTTTTCTTGTAGGCTATTTTGGTGTTTTCGGGCAGCTACTGCGTTTCGTGACTCCACTGACGATTGCCCCAACTGTGGCTTTGGTAGGCTTGACGCTGTTCGATCACGCGGCTGAAGCAGCTGCCCAGCAGTGGGGCATCGCGGCTGGGTGAGTGAGACAGAAATAATGCGTAAATCTTTACCTAATTTAACCACATCGATGATTAAGGGTATGTTCCGATATACACTGCGAGCACTGCGCAGTGGTCTTACTGCTGAAAAATCCGTTCCGTTATGGACTGCCAGTACACTGTTACAGTACCCTAGGGAAATTTATGACGTCATAAATTGCCTCCATATTTGTACTGTGAGCACTGGAGATTTCGAGGTAAGGTGCTCGCAGTGCTTTTGATCACGTGATCAGTCGAAACAGAATCAGAAAATGATAAGTTTCTAAATAAAAAAGAAATACTTACGTTTATTTATAAGATGGATTTAATTGATAAATAAATTTTTTATACAATTTTCCAATTTTCTTTTGAAAAGAGGGAATCTTTATATTTATATTCACCTTGCATTAACAAATTTGAAAATGGCGCCAAAAAATAGGATTAACAGTATACTGGACTGCGTTCCGTTTTAAAAAGTCACCAGTATAACTAGCTATAAAGGAACGGGCTTCCAGTATACTAAATTGACGTCATACTGTTCAGTGGTCGCAGTGTATATCGGAACATACCCAAAATATTGCATTGTTCTTAAGGAGGGAAGAAATGGAAAATTGGAAATAATATGGTTTTTTTTTCATAAAAGCTGAGGGATTGTAAGTTATTCGGATATCGACTGTGAACTGGCAAATTGTGTTATCTCAATTTTGGCAACTTTTCAGGAAGTAGAAAAAACGTAATTATTAATAGTTTTGGAGTGATTTATCCAAAATAAAAAAACGGTTGGTTTAATATATGTTTTCTATTAGAAATTAAAGTCATTTTTTTTATTTAATAATCATTTTAATTAGAAAATCGAGTTATGACATTATGAATCAGCTGTAAGTCCCACTTAGGATATTTTAAACGATGCAAAAGGTCCGAAGTTATAAAAAGAAAATCAATATTCAAGATGGGATAAATTTCACTTTCAGTTATTTGTATTATTACATATTAAATTATAATAATAGCAAAAATCAACATGAACTTTGGTAAGATTAAAGAATCGTTACTATTATTAGCCTTGGCAGGGTAAATTATCATAAAAATAATGGCAATCCTTAGGTATGACAGACTTTAGTTCTTGCAGATGTAACCACTTAGTTTTGGATATACAACATCGTGCTGTCAATAATGGTGGATACGATTGTACAGCATCAAATCGTTTTGGTCTTTGTGGTAAATCTTTTAGTTCCTCAGAAAAGTCTAGTTTTACTTTAATTATTCCCGAAGGATGATAGCTTATCACTTTTATGTCGGTTACTGTTGGATCATGTTTCATTCGACCAGGTCTAATAGAATTATATCGTAAAGGCTTTGTATAGTCTCGAAAAAAGTCGTAAGTAAGGTCTATGGCTTCGTATGGTGTTGGCTTTTCACTTGCTTCTCTAGTAATAGACACGTACTCACTGGGGAGTTTGATTTCTCTCTTTTTTAATTTTCTCTCGATGCATGCATGAATAGAATCCACCTCCATCTGGGTATGACCGACCTCAAGATATTTTTGATATATCAAAACTCCGTGAAGCATACTAAAATTTAGCAGAGCATTTGCCATCACATTATTTCTGTTTTGAGCAGTGCACCCATCAGAAAATATTATGATAGGTTTTTTTTCTGCAGTTATGCATTTTTTTTCCAGATAATGAATCAAACATGAGACAAATGTAGATGCTACTAATTGATTGTTTTGGTCTTCGGAGAACCAGTAACAAGTTGATTGTTTTTTTACGATATCATATATTGTAAAGTTATGGCAGGCTAGTTTTGTTTTGTAGTAGAAAGCATTAGCATGAGTAAATGGCGCTAGTTTAACTGCTTGGAAGTCTACTTCTATTAATATTATTTCTCCTCTATTAGCTTTTTATATATCTTCCCGTTTTTCCTTTCTAGCTTTTTCTTTCTTCTCTATGTGTTCTTTCCAAGACTCTTCCTTTAAATTTCTTGCTTCATAGCTAGCACATAAATTGCATTTATCTTTTTTGACGTTAAACAAGGAAATATTTTTGCTGCTCATAACTTCGCTGAACTTTTTGCGACTAAAACTTGGTTGTCCGGTTTCATTACATTTAACTAAATAAAGTTTATAAACATCTTTAATAGTCTGAAGAACAGGTTCCAGGTACAGTTTTGATGAATTTTGTCTATTGTAATGAGATGGCATTTTTGGTAAACTATCCAAAAAGTTACTTAAAAAATCTTCCTGTGACCTCACCACATTATTAACGGAAGTATCTTTGATTTTTATTGTAGCTGGAATTCCATGAGAGCTATCGTTTACCCACGATTGGACCATTCTGTAGCCGATTCCTAAAGTATTTAGGAACATATCTCGACAAACTTGATAATTTTGTTGCCCATTATTCAAATTATAAATTAACGTAAAATTACGCCTCGAGTCACCATCGGTTGTGTTTGTTTTTTTTGCAATCTTAGTCACGTATCCACAAACAAATGCTTTGCGCTCTCCCCAAGTTAGGCCCCAAAATCGTTGGTATATTGATTCTCTCTGTTCTTGGGTGAAATATTGGCAATTTCGTTTCTTTGAGTTAGCACAAACAGTACTCATGCAAGTTGGTTTTATTTTACGTTCGTCCCTTGGTATATCCTGAATAACTGTAGACCCGGCTTTTCTGAATCCTAAGTACGCCTTCCCTTCCATACGTAATTTTTTGTTAATATTCCTCTTCCACTGGCTAGGGTCGGCTTTCTTTCGCCGTTTTCTTCCTTCATTCATGTTGTGATTATTGGGATCTATAAACTTATCGGATTCGTTTTTGAGAAGAGATGAAGACAGCGGGCGTTCATCATCATGAGTATTTGTTAGCGTGATTGGTTCCTGAGAATCGTTTGTTTTTTCTAAATAAATGATTTGTTCCCTTGAGCTTTCGGAGTTTGTATCGTGTGCGAACTCCAGTTGTATTGGTAAAACTTCTTGTTCTGAAGAAGGCACACAACGTGGAATTATATGATCTGTAGAGGGAAGATGTTCTTCTTCCATATTAAACGAATTTAGAGAAACGTAATCCGTAAAGCAAGAATCTTCAGTCAACACTATAACAGGGAGTGTTTGTTGTACCTCGGGAATACATTTCTGATAGTCGTTAATGTTCTGTGAACAAAAAGAGTATTATCTGCATAATATTAAATTTTCATGAGAAATAGATACTTATCATCATTAATTCAAGTCTTATTAAGTAGTGCTAGTTTACCTCTTTCGCTGATATGTTTTCGTTTCTTTCATTATTTCCGTTAGCATCATGTACCGCTTGCACTAAACGTCTACCTCTAGACAACTTATAGTCCTGTATTAAATAATATATATTAATAATTGTGTTTCAAACAATATAAAAAGATATAAAATAAAAATTTTATGGACACTAAAAACAAAAAGCACTATCTTGCTTCAATTTTTAAACCGACACCTACATTAGGTACATACAAACTCTAATTCATTTTGTCCTATCTTATTATTCAAATTATTAACGTCTAATTATTTTATAACTACAATGAAATCCCATTAAATACTTACCATTTTTAATCCTGGATAACATTAATAATAAGTTGAAATAACATAAAACACAGAACACTAGTAAATATTACTATTATACCCTTTTTTATTAAGAGCGGCTGAAGATCGTGTTCATGTCGGTACCAATTTAACGAGATAGTACAAATTACTCGCATTTAAAGCGGAAGCGCTGTTAGTATTGGTTGAATTAATTAGATTTTGCCGGTAAATTTAAATTATTTAGTAGATATTATATTATGAGACGGTAAAAGATATGAAATAGTATGAAATGCCATAAAAAAGTTTTATACCTCAAATTTTAAGATAGGACATATTGCCGGTTCACAGTCGATATGCTACTTTGTTATGTATGCTATAAAAGATTCTCTTTGTACATGTACTTTTTGATATTTTAAGGTATATTGAATAAGTATATAGACGAAGATAGACTTTATATGTAATTAAGTGTGTTAGTAAAGTTGTCTTGTACCTGGTCCTCCTATTACTATAATATACTTGAGATAATTAGATTAAAGTATGGATAATTCATAAATAATTAAATTTACTATAACAACAATCTTTATCTTCTTCTTCAGCCCTTTTACGTCCCCATTTCAGGGGCTCAGGCCTTTCTTATGGATGATTTAGGAGGATGGGCCATGACCCTCCACACTGGCCCAATGCGGATCGGAGAGTATTAACGGCTGCAAAATGCAGCCGGAACCAACTGCTTAACGCGCCTTCTAAAGCACGGTGTAGCTCGAGATTATAATTTTCTGGTCACCCATCCCGTGACCGGCCCTTACGAAAGTTGCTTAACGACTACGATCGCGGGCCGCGGCGCTTATACAATAGACTTATAATCAACGCAAAATAATAAAAAATAACTTTATAAAATACAAACTTGCGATTCGCAACTTCGCAAAATGTTGCGTACGTCAGTTTACAATATAATTATTTCACCATACATTCGTTCCTCGTAGGTTGCATCTAGTGATCTGAGTAATGTAGGTCATAAGCGTATATCTGCAACCATTGCCGCTTTTTATAGAATCGTAACCATCAAATAGCACCGAGAATGGGTGATGTATATCTTACACTCGTTTGTGTGGTTTCCCGAAACATCCATAAGGTCAGAGGTCGTTGACCGTGAAGTTACAGCTGTATTGATCAAAACGAGCTAGCAATGGCCAGAATATTAGTAAAATTAGTATAAGTAATAACATTAGTATCTTCAATCATATTAATATTTTTTTACACAACAACAATTTGTAGTCGGTGCACTAAATCATAGTAGCAGAAGATCCGTCGGTACACTGTGAAACAGAGAAGTTGGGTTCTGAAAATTGCCAATCCATAGTCTTATAATATCTAAGCTTTGAGGTCGCCTTAAAAACAATGTACATATCACAATGCTATAATGATATTTATCTAAAAGGAAAATGCTAAAAGGAAAATCCCACTTGGACATCTGAGTATTTTTCTTTAAGATTAAACTTAACAATGTCTAATTTTAACAGAGTAACAGTTTAACAAAGTTTTCTCGATGTCGAAGTTGTTTCGATATATTTTGCATTCACAATTTTTGATTATTATATATTTAAACAGCTATTTTTTTTACATTTCTCGTTTGAGTAGCTCAGTGGAATAGTGTCTAAGCACTGCGACCCGCGATAGTTGTAGTTAAGCAACTTTCTCAAGAGTCATTTACGGGATGAGTGACCAAAAGATTATTCGTGCTTCGGAAGGCACGTTGAGCCGTTAGTCCCGGCTGCACTTGGAGTAGTTAATGACCTCAATTCCGAATTGGGCCGTGTAGGGTCATGGCCCATCCTCCGAACCACTTATAAAGAAGGCTTGAGCCTTTGCAGTGGGGACATCAAAGGCTTGATGATGATGATAAAGCAAAATATATAAAACGAAAGTCACTGTAGAGCAGTCGTCCGGTACCAAAGTTTGTATTAGATCGAATCCCATCTATTACATGGTGATTATTTGAGACTGTATAATATGTGAATTCAAAACTAACCAAATAAAATAATTTTGTTATCTTTTTAATTACTTTTCTATAAGATAAATGCATATTTTTGTACCCTAAACGCTCGAGCATAAGTTATTAAACAAAACACATTATACACGTTACACATATTTTCGTACTACTTAGCACGAAAATATGTGTATTCACGATAACTACATAATATTTTCGAGTTAACGTCAAGTACCTACGAGGCTACAGAAATTAATACCAGTAACCGGGCCGTGCGTTTACGCGACCTATTTAAAATTGCTTTGAAGACTTGCTAATCAAAGTGAAACATCGAAAAATTTTGTTTAATTTAAATTCCTTTTTTAATTAATTTTGGGCACCAAATCAGTAATTTACGTCTATTATTAGTTTTTATATTTATTACAATACCCATTTTTCGTTCATTCAAAATGGCTACTGTAAGATAGGTAATATACTAAGTATACTAGATTTTCTCATCTCCCACGATAACAGACCAGCGCATTGTTATAAAATAAAGTCATAGGACAAAGTGAAGAATATAAATGAAATAAAACTGAAAAGATGATCGATATGCACATAATTAGTGATATGCATCCAAAGAATGATAAACAAACGAATGGTTAGTTAAGACAGTATTACGTCAGAAGAACAACCTATTGAATATTTATCTATTGTAGATGTAAAGTCATCCACCTTGCAGTAACTACTTGGTACCTTTCATTTATTTTCAATAATAACAGATAAACTCAGAGCAAGTCTTGTTACGATCCCTGAAGATCTGAGCTAAGCGTTTGAAAATTACGTGCAAGAGTTCCCAAAAAGGAGCGAGGTCACAGAGACTACTTCAAAAGGCAATAAAATATTAAAAAAAAAAATATATGTAAATTTTGTATTCACAATGTTATACTGAAAAAATATTCTTAATGAAAAAAGCTTAAAAATCCATTTTGTCCTTGGAGTCTCAGAGTGCCAGGGACAAAGTGAATTTTTAATAAGTTTCTATGTCCTTAATGTTTTTTAAGACTTTCAGTGTTACACTCACGCATATTATCATTATTTATGAAGTTCGGTTTTTTAAGGAATTTCTGCTGAATATGGGTCATCTAAATATCAAGGTTTACCTTCCAATCATATGAAGTTTTGTAACTGAATTGCAGTGTATAATCGATAATTGCACCTGTTGCGTGCGCGGGTCGACGGCCGAAGCTCCACTCGGCTTCACTTCTACAATCATGATATCTTAATGAATATTACTCGATATATCGGAATCGTATTCGAATTTCAAATTGCTTCCCTCCATTGTAATTGAATGATTTTGAATTTGAAATAACAAACTTTTTTACTGTTACAATTAAGTTTTTATTTAGTTTAATAAGAAATAGGTTTATATCATAGTTTAATGAAACTTCTTTTTATGTATTCGTTATAAATCATTAGCCTATTTATTAATAATGTCCTTATTGTCGAAAAAGAGATTGTTCCTTAACGACGGCTATAATCATTACGCGGGCCCAGTCTGGATTCGTGAGTGTCAACGACTGCAACAGCGGCCGAGCCAACGTCTAAACATGCCTTCCGAACTATCGAGCAACTGGAGATTATGAATTTTTGGTCACTCATCCGATGACAGACCCTGGCGAAAGTTGCTTAACTTCAGTAATCGCAAATGTAACGGGCCGTCTAGCTCCTCCAATATTATTTTGTACCTTTATATGATATAATTATGAAATGTCTACTATTAAATATCCTTATAAGTAGTTAGGTAAGTCAGCATCATATTGCGTGTATTTCATATTAAAACAGTGTTACAGGTTCCTTTAAATTTACCCCCGAGTTTAACTCAAGCGTGTTCATTACGCGGCGCATACGACTTCAAACAGCCATCTATAATTAATCACATTTCCAGCTGAAATTTCAAATTCACTAACCCAACGCATCGGAATGTGCGCTTAATCCTAAGTCCTGCAAGGTTCATTATCAATTGGCTAGTCGTTATTCAAGTGAACAGGTTTAACAAGCTCAACTTTTGCTGGGACTCGCTCGCCATTCAGATATAATGTCAACCTCAATAATTTTTGTCCCTCCATTTGTTTATATGACGCCATTTACGGGGTTCGGTCAAACATCTCATTTTCCATTCGGTTTGTCACAACCAAAGAAAATATATATTATTAATGTTACAATTGCGCCAAACACAAATTGGTATGGATTTTGTAAAAATACATGTTTTCCGGTTAGCAGAGTATGTGCTAACCGGAAAACTATTACGGGATTTCAGTAGTTTTCGCAATTGCAACGTTGGCTTTAGACGGCACGTTAAATTTTACATATTTAGGTACTTATGTAACAAAGATATTTAATTTAATATTTATATAAAACTAGATTTCCGCCAGCGGTTTTGCCCGCGCTATCCTTAGGGATCTGTTTATTTGGATGTCGACAAATTGAACAGCAAACAATGGTTACGTTTTAATTTCCTATACAAACTTCACACTCCCATTTTCATTCCATTATTTGCTGTTTTTCCTATGTTCACCGTATATGATGTAGTTTACCGTAGTAGAATGAATTTTTAAAATCAGTCCAGTATTATCTAATATAATGCAACACGAAAGTTTAAAAGTTTATAAAGAGACAAACAATGAAATGTTTCCTCTTTATAATAATAGTATAGATACTTAAAAAGTTCTCGAGAGGTGTATCCTTTCGCAATGCAGGTAGTAATCCGGAAGAAGTAAATATTGTGTGGTATTGTTTAGAGTAGTAGTAAACAGTAGTAGGTAGTAGTAAACAGTAGTGGGTATAAACAATAGGGATGATGACTAATTTTTGTTTGTTTGTCCGTCAGGTAGTGTTAAAAAATATTAAACACGTATTTTTTATTCTTTTTGTAATTATAAAATTACGGCGTTACATGGAGTTGAAATTTCGCATGACGTCACGTTAGGGTACGTTTTCTACTCAACTATGACGTAGCGAGCCCCCACTCCTCAACTTGAATGCCTGTTATCTAAGCTATTTCTTGTTAAATTGAAGCAAAAAAAATACGTATCTAATATTTTTCTATTATCTGACTGACAGACTAAATAGAATTGCATTTTTTTTCCCCAGTTATCATCCCTATTAAACTACTTGACTTTAGCGAGACAGACGAATGTTGTCGCTAGTAAATAAGTACATTAAATCTCTTTTGCAACGCATGTGAATGCAATTAAGTTTAGTTTTGTGATTAAAATCAAGAATTTCCCGACGCTCACGGAGATATTTCAAAGGTTGTTTGTGACAAAACCATTTCGGAATCCAATTGTCAGAAAGAGCAATCTCCTGATGGAAATGTCGCGTCCAATGTTAGCGTAGATACAAAATTGAGGTGATGTATAGGTAGATTGAGACAGTAGGAGTAACAAGCTTTCTTTTTGGAAATGGAGCTTGGTTTGCAGATTCGGTTTGTAAAAACTTCTGTAAAGTCGCTCGTTTGATGGGTGATCAAAAATGTGTTACCTCGGGCTCTTTCTTACTTCGGAAAAATATGTCCAACTGCGTCAGGAGTTAAATTTTGATGGTGAATTTCAAATATTTGATGTAAGAACACTTTCCTTCCATAACCCCATATATAGAATGTGCCGTGAGTATAACGCGTTGTTGGATCGACTTAATGGTGAGCCTGACATCTGTCATTCATCTCTTAGTAGTCTGAAATACTTAATAAAAAAACACTACTTTGAGCGCTGTCTAAATTCTCAACTTATACATTTATTTATTGAATCCTATTTTAATTGAACTTTTTAATCGGAATTTTGATCTGTTTTTTTTTTGTTGTTTATTATTGTCTCAATTATTTATTGAAATATTTTATTAACTTGTTTAAATTGAAATTTTAATCATAAGTCCATTTTTGTTGTAATCCATTTTTTGTTCTTATTTATATTTATTGTTTTTTTTTAAATCTTAGTTATCTATATTGTTTTTTTATTAATTTTCATATTAAGGTGTTTTGTTAATGAAATTATAGATATGTGTACGATATATTTTTACATTTTTTATATGATGTGTGAAATTATAATTACTAATATTATTATTTTTGAATTAATGTAAATGATAAAATGGTTTTAAAGGGAATTATAACTATTTTGATTTTATTGTTGTTACTTTGATTGTGCATGCTGTTTACGCATATTTGTGGAATTACAGCCTACATCTGATTGCTCACTTCTTTTTTACTGCTTATTTCTGCATATTGTTGTAATTCTGACATGTGTAACAAATAAAATAAATAAATAAATAATAAATTTGACATTATTTTAATGCGACATTACCGATACAAATTTTACATTCATTAGAACTTAAAGGCGTCATTAAACCTTAATTTGTGCAACTCACCGATACTCTAAAGAGACTTTTGATATAATGACACAATGAAACTAACATTGTGCCACTTGTTTACGGAATTCCTGGTGTAAGATACTCACTTAGTCTGTTTGTTTCAGCACATTCGTTCTGCTAACGATATTTTCACAATGCATGACTGAGATCACTATACCAACACTGGCCTGGCATAAGGGGAGGGTCACCATCACATGGTTCCCGCTCTTCAAACTCTTTCCAGTGAGTTCTAAAGCTAGAGGTATACGGCTCTTATTGAAAAGTATAATTTCTGACACATATACACATAAATTATAGTTCTGGGTTAGTATTTAGATTCAGTTTTGCTCGGATGTGTGTTTTAAGAACCTCTGCAGTAGCCCTTTGGCGGTGTAATTATACGAGGGTCAAACTGAAAGTTCTTAGAAAATCAAAAACTGATTACATTGGCCAGTTATTAGTTTTATTATATCTTTTCAAAATATTGTCCATTCACGTCAATACACCGCTGCATGCGATGGAACCACTGGGAAAAGCACTTTGCCCACTCGTCCTTAGGGGTCTCTTCAATGGCATCGCGATACGCAGCCACCGCTTCTTCAGCATTCATAAACCGCTTTCCTTTAAGTTTTTCTTTAATTTTTGGAAATAAATAAAAATCACAAGGCGCGAGGTCGGGGCTATACGGCGGGTGACCCAGTAATTCAACGTTTGATGTCGCCAAATAGTCGATCGTTCGCTTGGCGGTGTGCGACGAGGCGTTGTCGTGGTGAAGGAGGATCCTACTGCGAGGTCGTTTCTCTCGAACTTTTTCCAAGACAAGTGGCAAACAATTGGTAGTGTACCATTCTGCAGAAACTGTTTTTTGATCCTCTAACACAATTGTTGCAAAATGACCTATCCTTCCAAAGAACGAGGCCACCATTTTTTTTCCCGCACTTCGATCTCTCTTCACTTTAGTTGGCAACTCCTCGAAAGGAAACACCCACTGAGCAGATTGTCTTTTGGTTTTAGGATCATAACAGTAAATCCAGCTTTCGTCACCTGTTAGTATATCGAACACAGCATTTGAGTCACCTCCGTTAAATCTTTCAATCATTTTACGACACCAATCCACACGATGGAGTTTTTGAGCCTCAGTCAAATTATGAGGTATCCACCGGGCGCAAAGCTTCCTGACCGCTAAATGTTCGTGGAGGATTTTGTGCACTTGACTCATACCGATGCCTAAGCTTGTCCGAATCTGTTGATAGGTCACTCTTTTGTCAGTCTCTATCATACGCCGCACAACACAGATGTTATCTTCAGTCGTCGCCGTAGAAGGCCGTCCCTCACGTAAATCATCAGTGAGATTAGTGCGACCACGTTTAAACTCATTAAACCAGTTGTAAACAGTCGCACGAGATGGGGCTTCATCGTGAAAGGCCAATCGTAGTCTATCATAACTTTCTTGTTGACTTAAATGACATCGAAAGTCATAAAAAATCATCGCACGAAAATTTTCTCGTGTTAAATTCATGATGACGTGACACAGACAATTTTCAATTTGCCGCCAAATCGTAAAACAAATGACAAATGAATGAAATATATACTCAGTAATATTGGCAAAGAGTTATATTTTCAAATTTTAGAATTATTTTTTTATTATATTGTTTATAAGTGGCCAGTTCTAAGAACTTTCAGTTTGACCCTCGTAATTGTGGTCTCAATTGTGTAAAACATTTGTATATCGTATGTATTTTTTTGTTATTCGGAAGAATGCTTCAGTTTATTGTGTGATAGAATAACAAAACGTATAATATATTGAAAAAATCTACCTATTAACAATATTGAAAAAAAAAAACTTATTTTGTATACTACAGCGTTATGCACCTCAGGCCAATATGGGCTCTTAAAATTTGTTCGCAATTCACCGGTCGCGGTCAGCAAAAAGAAAAAAAAAATCTATAGCCATCGAAAAATGAACCTCTTCAATTTCAATTTTGAAGTCGTGTGATAAAAACAAACATAGGTACACATTATATTTATATTTTTCAAGTAACAAAAGGATATCTGCGATATTTTTCTAATGAAAAAAGAAAATGTTGTTACTTTAATAATCAGGCCCGGGTCTACGATTACATACAGAAACATCGTATGGCGCCCTTTCTCTACCCCTCACCCCCCAAACTCCATGAAGCCAGATTTTTATACCATAATTTGCATAGTATGATTCATTTATTCAACTATTTAAAGCATGTCCGTCCAATCGTAGCCTATAATGTATGTGTATGAAAAGATTTGTGAAGTTCGTGCTTTTTTCACTGTAATTAGGTATTATATAATGATGATTTTGGCGCCCCCCTGACACTGGCGCCAGGGGCTAGTGCCCCAACTTATTCCTCTAGATCCAACAGGCCCGGATCTAGGGGAATAGTAATGGAAAAAGTAGTTAAAAATGAAACCATTGTCTTTATTAAAGCAATATCTTTATTTTATGGATTTTAGTATTATTTCTCGTTCTGTAGGTTCTCTTGACGATAGCGATCATGTGGACGGTATGCGGTATTCTGACGGTGACTGAAGTCTTTCCACCTAACCATCCGGCCAGGACTGACGTGAAGCTGAATATCATCATGGATGCGCCTTGGTTCCGAGTGCCTTATCCAGGTTCTGACTATTTGGTTTGGTATTTAGAAACCATTATGATTTCAAAATAGAAACAATTATCATTTTAGTATTATAGTTTTGTTTGCATATTAGTACACATTATTAGGCATGGGAAGATCCAAAAGAGTTTCCTTATTTAATAGTGTATAAAGCTTTCAAAATGGTTCCTACCCGATTTCAAAAATGAGGTTGACCTGTACGTGTGTAATCGTTGGAATTGAGCAATATTAATATGTAACATATGGGTTTCTGTAAACGCATATGCTAAATTATGTACCGGTATATATATGAATGCATGATTGTTCACACATTTCTCTTAAATAAATAAATTACATTGCATCGTAGTGATTCTTTTTACCCGACTGTGTGACGCAAGGAGGGTAATGTGATTATCAGTCTATGTATATATGTTTCTATTTAGCATTCTAGGGACCAAATGCGTAGGCCGATTTTGATGATTCTTACGTCAATCGATTCGTCTTAACCTTGCGAGTGTCACTAAAGATATGACAGTAATCAAAATACACCACAGTTCAGACACAGACTTCAATGGAAATTAATCGAATTATTTCTTTTAATTTTTTTTTTATTATTATTATAGGTCAATGGGGTGCTCCAACGGTAAGTGTCGCTGGAGTGCTGGGAATGCTGGCTGGTGTTTTGGCATGTACAGTGGAGTCCATCAGTTACTATCCCACTACAGCTCGCATGTGCGGTGTGTATTTATTAACTTGTTAATTAGAAACTGGGCAGCGGTAACCGCAAATTAATTTTAGTTTCTTAATAGGCCAAATGTGTTTCAACATATACCTATTACCTAGGTATTATTGAAGAGTACAGCAAAGATCATATCAAAATTGTTTCATTTTTTAAATTTCCTGATTACTGAGAAATATTTTATTTAAAATCGAGTATTACTCGTATTTTAAAAAGTAGTATTAATATTATAGTGTTATTTGTGGTAGGGCAGGTGTAGTATTTGAGGAGTCCTCATTTGAGGTATAAGGATAAAAAACAGTATACATGGGATTTCATTGTCTATAAAATGTATATGTTTTGCTTCCTACAGCTGCTCCACCACCTCCGCTCCACGCTATCAACCGTGGTCTCGGTACAGAGGGTCTGGGCACAATAATAGCCGGTCTCTGGGGATCTGGTAACGGGACTAATACGTTCGGTGAAAATGTCGGTGCTATTGGAGTTACTAAGGTAAATGTCACCCATATACGTAAGAGCAACCCTTTATGGAAAACTTAATATTCACAGGGTTAGAGCTCCAAGTGTTTAATTCAGTTAAGTTGAGATTCGAGATCTAGTCAGAACATTGCATCCAGACTATAATTTGCATCTAGGAATACGATTGCCAGCCAAAAGATATCCTGTGGTATAGTAATAAATATTGGACGTATCCTAAGTGCTTTCAATAATTAGCAGTAGTTCAGTGGCGTTGTGGATAAGCGCTGCGGCCCGCGATCGTAGTCGTTAAGCAACTTTCACAAGGGTCGGTCACGGGATGGGTGACCAAAAAATTATTATCTCGAGCTATTCCGTGCTTCGGAAGGCACGTTAAGCCGTTGTACCGGCTGCATTTGCAGTCGTTAATACCCTCCAATCCTCATTAGGTCAGCGTGGAGGGTCATGGCCCATCCTCCTTAACGATCCATAAGGATGGCCTAAGCCCCTGCAGTGGGGATGTAAAAGGGCTGATGATGATGAAAGGATATTTTGATATGTTGTTTTTCATGGTGTATATATTAGATGATAGCTTCTTACAGGATATCATGTATCTTATTTTATTGAGGTCTCGATATTTCGACGCTGTTACAAGCACCATGAACGCGGAGAAGCTGAATTTTTTGCTGTGGCTCATAGACAGATATATCTATCTACCATCTTTCGATTTTATTTAAGTATTTTGATTTTAATAATAGGTGGGATCACGGCGTGTAGTGCAGTGGGCTGCAGCGCTGATGGTGCTACAAGGGGTCGTGGGTAAAATGTGTGCAGTCTTCATTATAATACCACAGCCCGTCATCGGAGGTCTGTTCTGTGTTATGTTCGGAATGATATCTGCCTTTGGTAAGTCAGTCTATTCTGCTGTACTGTTTTCTTTTTTGAGTTTGCATGATTAAGATACAGGGTAAAATTTAATGTAGATCTTTATTGTATTCTTGTCGTGAATTTATTGAATTTGTCGAGTGCAACTTATAACTCTTTATTGAACGCAGTAGTTAGTAAATCGTAATCGAATGGTATCTGTACATCATTACTAATCTTGTAGTATGTAAATATAAGTTTTTAAAACATCATCGTTGTTATGTTAAGTATCGGAAAACAAATTTTGCCACCACCACCACCAAAGTAAGAGAAATTTGTATTTATTGATGTTGTATTTTACTTTCCTTTCCCAGTACAGTTTCGAGATGTACTGCCAAATTATGATGTCCAGTGAATGATGTATCTTCATAATATATTTTGTAAAGACTCCGGATATTTATAAATGTTCTTTTTCTGTGTACTAGGTCTCTCTGCCCTGCAATATGTCGACCTCAACAGTTCTCGCAATCTTTATATCATTGGGTTCAGTCTATTCTTTCCATTGGTGCTGACCAGATGGATGGCAGCAAACAGTGGGGTCATACAAACTGGTGTCGAAGCTCTCGATGCTGTGCTGCAAGTATTGTTGTCTACCTCAATACTGGTGGGAGGCATTGTTGGATGTATGCTAGACAATTTAATACCAGGTGACTATAGAAGTATCTCCCTCTAATGATTTACTTGGATTATGTCGTTACCTTGCAGAAGTCCATATGACAATATGGATGACGACCAAATTTTGTTTGTTTGTCTGTCAGTTAGATTAATGAAAATATTAATTACGTATTTTTTGCCTAATCAATAAATTCAAGACGTCAAGCTTTTGTACACTATTCAACTATAATGCCTATTAGCTAAGCCATTTCTTGTTTAAATTGAAACAAAAAATACGTGTTTAATATTTTTCTAGATAATAGTGACGGATTAAATACGAGGGTCAAACTGAAAGTTCTTAGAACTGGCCACTTATAAACAATATAATAAAAAAATAATTCTAAAATTTGAAAATATAACTCTTTGCCAATATTACTGAGTATATATTTCATTCATTTGTCATTTGTTTTACGATTTGGCGGCGAATTGAAAATTGTCTGTGTCACGTCATCATGAATTTAACACGAGAAAATTTTCGTGCAATGATTTTTTATGACTTTCGATGTCATTTAAGTCAACAAGAAAGTTATGATAGACTACGATTGGCCTTTCACGATGAAGCCCCATCTCGTGCGACTGTTTACAACTGGTTTAATGAGTTTAAACGTGGTCGCACTAATCTCACTGATGATTTACGTGAGGGACGGCCTTCTACGGCGACGACTGAAGATAACATCTGTGTTGTGCGGCGTATGATAGAGACTGACAAAAGAGTGACCTATCAACAGATTCGGACAAGCTTAGGCATCGGTATGAGTCAAGTGCACAAAATCCTCCACGAACATTTAGCGGTCAGGAAGCTTTGCGCCCGGTGGATACCTCATAATTTGACTGAGGCTCAAAAACTCCATCGTGTGGATTGGTGTCGTAAAATGATTGAAAGATTTAACGGAGGTGACTCAAATGCTGTGTTCGACATACTAACAGGTGACGAAAGCTGGATTTACTGTTATGATCCTAAAACCAAAAGACAATCTGCTCAGTGGGTGTTTCCTTTCGAGGAGTTGCCAACTAAAGTGAAGAGAGATCGAAGTGCGGGAAAAAAAATGGTGGCCTCGTTCTTTGGAAGGATAGGTCATTTTGCAACAATTGTGTTAGAGGATCAAAAAACAGTTTCTGCAGAATGGTACACTACCAATTGTTTGCCACTTGTCTTGGAAAAAGTTCGAGAGAAACGACCTCGCAGTAGGATCCTCCTTCACCACGACAACGCCTCGTCGCACACCGCCAAGCGAACGATCGACTATTTGGCGACATCAAACGTTGAATTACTGGGTCACCCGCCGTATAGCCCCGACCTCGCGCCTTGTGATTTTTATTTATTTCCAAAAATTAAAGAAAAACTTAAAGGAAAGCGGTTTATGAATGCTGAAGAAGCGGTGGCTGCGTATCGCGATGCCATTGAAGAGACCCCTAAGGACGAGTGGGCAAAGTGCTTTTCCCAGTGGTTCCATCGCATGCAGCGGTGTATTGACGTGAATGGACAATATTTTGAAAAGATATAATAAAACTAATAACTGGCTAATGTAATCAGTTTTTGATTTTCTAAGAACTTTCAGTTTGACCCTCGTAGAATTTCTTTCTTTTACCCACTCATTTTCCCTATTAAACTTTGGGGAAAGGCTTTGTTAACCTAAATTTACTAAAGAATAAGTTTTATTACTAATGAAGTTAACTAATGAAATTAAATTTACTAATGAAGAATTTTTAATGATTCCTTAATACGTACACATGTTAACTTATTTTTGGTAACAGTTATTTATTTGATCAATTATTGTCTTTGTTACCAGGCTGAAATAAAATGAAAGAAATATTTCATTAACTGTGTATCACCATTAATTTATTGCCTATTATTATTACCTAACCTATTATTACCTAAGTCCATTCATTGGGAGAATTATTGTTCACCCATCGCATGAACAACCAACGCAAAACTTAACAATCGAAGATTGGATGATTGAATGCGCCAACCAATGAATGTCATTTTTATTCTCGTTCTTATATACAGTGTCATCGAAAATAACATAAGACATTTGCATTTAAAACTTTCAATTTAAATTCATCATCATCATCCCGTTTACGACTCCACTGCAGGGGCTTACCTAATGGATGGTTAAGGAGGATTAGCTATCATAACTCGCTACGTGGCTCAATGTGGATTAATGGGCATTAACGACTACAAATGCAGGGACCAACGGGCTTAACGTGCCTTCCGAAGCATGGAGTATTCGTATGTGAAGCTAGAGATAATAATTTTTTGGTCACCCATCCCGTGACCGACCCTTGCGAGAGTTGCTTAGCAACAACGATCTCTGACCACGGCGCTCACTCAATACGCCACCGAGCTTCGTTCAATATGTTAACAAATTCCACTAGCGTTATTGGAGTACTCACTGAAAGTATCTGAAAAAAGGTACGATTCTCTTTGTACCTAATCCTTTATTAATCAATTACATTAAGATCTACATATAGCTGGCAGATAGTACGCATTAAATTGATTAGACTAAAGGATGGGAAAGGTATTGAACATTTATTGGCTACATTTTCATGCCTCTGTAAATAAGGATCGCAAGGGTAAAGTGACCGGTACATACCATTACTTTATATTATCGGCATACAGTTTTTTTAGAAAGGTACGGAAAGAAGTGCGTAAATCCAATAATCCGCTTCACATTTAGCAGTACTGGACCTACGATTTATTCCAACAGAAACTGGATAGTTGGCCACCTATAATTTTAAAACAAAAAAATAGTCAACTAGCTTAATGTCAGTAAAATTAGTGACTTCTTCTATATTATATTTTGTTTTTATTTTTATTCTTGGAATTGATTTCAAAGAATCGATTTTCATCTCCACGCACGTAGACGTACTTGAAGACGTCAAAACTTATATGTATGTATATTTTTTTCTGGTTTAGGTACGGATGAAGAACGAGGCCTGGCTGCGTGGTCCCAGCAAATGTCCCTTGATGCTGCCGGCGCAACCGACGGTGGAGACACTTACGATTTCCCTGTCGGCATGACTTATATCCGTAGGTGGGTCTGCGATTTATCATCGATCATATAAATATCATAACGTATTGTATTTCATTAAAAATATTAATTTGGAGTCCCTAGGATGGGAAATTGGCAGAGGAAATAAAAAGTCTTTATTTCTAGCTTGGCAAATGCTAAGGTTCAGATAAAAAGACAATGATTTATGAACTGACCTTCGTCTGATCTGAGAGAGCAGAAGTGGTATTCTATTCTAAACTAACATTTCAACGAGGTTTTATAATCGATTGTTATAAATAATATGGGATTTATTTCTTTGTTATAGGCTTTCAGACCCATGTCTTTTATGTGTTGTATAAGGTCGTGATAAATTTTGTTGAATCTTGCGTCTTGCACGCTTCGTATAAACGTCAAATTATCCCCTTTTACAAACCCCTTTTGAATAAATTTCAGCTTTGTGAGTTTGTCAATAGGCTATACAAAATATATTATGAAACAGTTATGAATAGATATACGACTATGAAACAGTTATGAATAAATATTTAATAGATTTTTCCAGAAATTGAGTTATTTAGGTATTAAATTGGACTTTTTATTGTAAGAATACAAACCAAAACAAGGGTTTATTAGACTAGCTTATTCATAAGCTAAATATTATTGGTAATACACAAGAGGGAGAAAAGTAGTGAAACTGGAACTAGTGAAGTTTCACGTTGAATTATTGAGAACTAAGTGATTAGATCTGCCAGATCTGAGTTAATATTTATAAAAAATGTAGTCATATGTTTGTGGCTAAAACAGTGATTGTTTTGTAAATTTACAAATAACAAATGATTTAAATGATAAATCCATGGATAAATACGCATAACTTTTTAATTTGCATAGAAGTCAAAATCAGTTCTACTAATGTTAAAGCCACACGGTGCTAATAATAAATTAAGTTTAGCGTCAGAGTGAATTTTCGCTAAAATTGCAATTAAGTATTAGTCTAAATTCTAATTATACGGAGAAAGAGCTAAGAGTTAATATAACTCCCGTAGAACCTCGTACTAGGTTAATCTTTGCTAAGTCTCTAATTAATAATATGATATTTGACTATTAGTGCAGTCTCAGCGTAAATTTACTCCAACGCTAAACCTTGTTTATGCATAACACTGACAGAGTTTAAAGCTCATAATATGCATCAATAATTCGTCAATGGCGAACAGATTTTGACACAGAAAATATTACTAGATCACAAAATAACAGACATACCTATGTATCTGTCTGTTAATGTGGATTAATAAGAGTAACTAATAATATTAAATCTATGTTCTTCACTATAAGAAAAGGATAATCTGTCATTGTGTAGCTCGGTGGCGTAGTGGATAAGCGCCGCGGCCCGCGATCGTTGTCGTTAAGCAACTTTCGCAAGGATCGGTCACGGGATGGGTGACCAAAAAAAAAATTGTCTCGAGCTACTCCGTGCTTCGGAAGGCACGTTAAGCCGTTGGTCCCGGTTGCATTTGCAGTCGTTAATACCCTCCAATCCGCATTGGGCCAGTGTGGAGGGTCATGGCCCATTCTCCTTAACCATCCATAAGAAAGGCCTGAGCTCCTGCAGTGGGGACGTAAAAGGGCTGATGATAATATGATATAAAAAATCTGTCATCATTGATTCATCAATATATAAATTTATTAGCGTGAGGTAAAGCATTGGGCCAAATGCTATTCATTGAAACCCTATTGAAGTAGTAAGATCTATAATCGATGAAGTCCTCAAATATCTAAGATGTTATATGATTGTTATTTTTTATTTGAACAGATGGAAGTGGACCAGTTACTTACCGTTCATGCCGACGTATCAAGCTGGCAAATTCACCGCACTATTTCGTAAGAAGGAAAGCTGATGATTCAATTTGTTGCTATGTGACGTCATAAGGAAACAGCTGACCGTTGTCGGCTACGGGATACGGGTTAATAACCGCTAACAATTAATGTAGACGTTAATAAATATTTTATCTGTGTAATTGCATTCTTTTTTTGAAAAGTCCTCAACTTTTTATGTCATATTTGAAAATCAAAATACAACTTTGAAATTCGTAGTTATAATTCAAAATGCGATATCTTTTGTTCAGTGTAGATATACAACTCCTATCGACAATACAAAGAGAAAGAACTTGATACTTTTGTTAATGTGGTGGGGTAGACTGGGGACAATTTTTGTCTTTGTCGCGCTTCCGTAGGGTTCGCTAGGTCATATTATCATAAAAGGATTATATTTCTATCCTTTTTTCACCGAACGTTCAATGACCTTTTTTCAGTGAAGCAGCACGTAATTATGGGACGTGTATACGTTGTTTTGACTATAAATAAATAAGAAAGCACTAAAAAGCGCCTCACTAGATGGCAACTCTCATAGATTTTTGCAAGAAATGAATGGACAAAATAGTCATTTTCGTTCCTTTCAACTAACATATTAAAAAACTGAAATTTGCAAAGTGTGAAACTAAGATATCAATACAAATACGAAGAACTAAAAATAGAATATGAGTTGTTATATGAGAGTAGAATATGAGAATAGAGTTTTGAAAATTATTTACTTTTGTACATGAAAGAAAGCCGGAAGGGTTGTCATGGAGAAATCAAGAAAGTCATGTTCAAAGTTATGGGAAACTATGGAACTGTCGTTTAGTATGGAGATGTTAGTGGAATTTGGATTTTGTACAGTTACTAAAGTTGTTTTCTCGACATATCACATTTTAATGTGTTCTTTGGTTAGTTAACTTTGGATTTTATGTAGTACCCAACTCGAAATCAGTAATTTTTTTCAAAATCTAAATAATGCATCGGAACAAAAAAGTCAATACCTTCTAAACAGGCTGTAACACTTTTGCCCTCCTCTAACAGACAGTTTAGTTATAACTATCTAAACTTTTTAAAAATCGAATAATTTCCACAATTGTCAGGATAACAATTTTTTTACACCATATTTAAAACAGAGAACACATCTACTCAAGTAAACAGAATTGCAGAACGCAAAAGTTTTCCATACCTTTCAGATCTATCCATGAAGATAGGTGATATTAATGTCGTGAAGAAGGGTGGGAAATCACACTGGCCCCTTAAAACGGAATGTTTCGATATAAGTTTTTGATATTTAAATCAACTTTAGCAAAGGAATCGATTGTTTCTTTTTGTGTTATTATATTGTATTTTCCACAATTGAGATAATTCTTTTTCAATTTGATAGGGTATATTCCTTATGAGCGAACTTACTAATTAATTTTTTATGAAAAATACTTAAAATATTCTTTTTTCCTGGCACTCTGAGATAGGACTCGAACACATAACCTTTCCCCATCCGGGCGACTGCTCTTACCACTGAGATACACAGGACCTAAAAGGACTGACGAATTTTTCAAGTACTTGTTACTTTTTCACTAATAAAGAGCGTATTTTTCATAAATTTTCAGGCAATTCATCCAAACAGGCGAAAGAAATATTTTTACAAATAATTAAACTTTCTATAAAGGTGAAAAATTTGTTTTAATTATTATATTTATAATTAGAATAATAAGATATGACTAACAAAATTAATATGACATCGTATCATCATGAGCTTATTAATCCTATTATTGGGAAATACAGGCCTTCCCTATGTATGGAATCAGATAGGGAAAACAGGCTATAACCCACCACGTGAGTGTAAATGACTGCAGATACACGGAAGAGCATTACTTCTCAATAACGGTTTTATAGCGTTTGTATTTGGTTAAATTATTTTAAAAATACATTTGACTTATTTATTTACATACCTACCCTAATCTACTACCAGTTTCAAATTTGGAAATCTTGTCAGAGAAGAACTGGCAGCACAAACTCCGACAAGAAGAATGAATTGCAGGAGATCAAACCAGGTTACCACTGCGGCATTGACTTCCTCCTCCTTTATAGCATCTCATAGTAAACGTGAAACTGATTCTATATATTAAGCTCTAATATATTGATCAGATGAATCATATTCATTGATCATGATACATCTGGTTTGTGATTACGCGACAAATGAGACTAATATAATTGCACATTTGTCATATCGGAACACGAGAACCCAGACAGTTCGTGACACGAGACCTCGAAGTAGTTTTGTTATTGGATGATGGATTTGAAATGGCATTCACACTGAGATATACCCCAACAGTTCAGGAGTTACTACTTGTACGAATTAACATGACACCTGAAAGCTTGTCCTATTGTTCCAAAAGAGAAATTTTGTCTAATTTCGAAATGGTGAAACGACTCCAAAGAAACGCATTTTTTCGAAAATTTTAAGATGCTACGGAGGTAGGACCTGTCACTTCCTCTGATGCACGGATTAATTTTCACAGACATGATTTTAATAAAATTATAAAAATACGATTCCGACTTTTCTTTTTAACTACAACTTTATGCGTTCATTATTCCATGTAAAGATTGCATCTTACCTGGAATATTTGAATGTAATGTTAAATTTCTATTTGGAGCATTAAACAATTCCAGAGACCTCATAAGCGACCTCAGGAATACTAATAATAAAACAACACGAATATGATGTTTTTTTATCGACTATGTTGATCCTTATGTTCATTATCAATTAGTTTCTGGTATAAATTTTAATCGAAGTGGGAAAACAAATCCTCGGTCCGTCTGTAGTTACACTGCCTGCTTATTTCTAGAACAAAACGCGTTTTCTAGTATTTCCTTAACAGAAATAATTCAGATACATACTAGTTGTTTTCCCGCGACATAGCCTATGTCACTTTCGTATGACCACAAATATACATAAACTACGTATTATTTTGCTTCCCGTAGGTGAATTTTTTTTTTAAATCGATTCAGTTTTGTCAGATCCAATTCAATGCAATTAAACAATCAAATCTTTCCTCTTTAATAAGTTAATGTAGGTTTAACAAAAAAAAATACCTACTGTTATCGACGAAGAGGGTGACGAGGAATGGTGTGGGCACAGATGCGAAAATAAACAATTTATCTTCTCAAAACTATATTGTCCACAAAATAAATGTACTCGTCAAAGCACGTGACAATCAATAATAATCCATATGTTAATACAAAAACAAAATTAAATAAAAATCAAATATAATAAAAAAACTATAAAAACAAAGACAACGTATAAAAAAGGTCGGTTCAGCTGACGATCCTCAACACCTACATTTGAACGATCGATATACGCTTTTACAGCATCAAGAAAATATTTACCCATTTCAATAACTTTTAGGACTTACGGCTAGTTGCACATAAGTCAATTATATAAGGTTTAAGGACGCCTTTTGAGCTCTATTGAATGTCAAACTTGTATGGGTAATGTCTCTTTAATTAAACTAATGAGTTTTTAACGGACGTTTTTGCAACTGGCTGTTAGACTCTCTCAAATACGTATTATGAAAGTTGTCGATAATGCAATTATTATTTTCTATTACTTCATGGATAAAAACACTTGCTATCAAACTATTTTGTTCTCACTGAAAAATGAAGCCTCTGCTAATGGGTAGAGAGGACTATAAAGCGAAGAGCTTTATGGCTCATAAAACTTGGATGGAAACTTAGTATTCTATCTATGACTGGCGCCTAGTATTCATTATTTTTAATGTTTAACCCTATTCTTGGCAATGTGTATTATTTGATACGTTAATTTCTTACATTTTTTATGACCTGAAAAAGTACTTTTCATTTTTATTTTTATTTACACATGGTAGAAAATATTCTACAAAATATATAAAAAAAATATTATTCCGGTTATGGTACTACTGAATGGTTAGTAGTTAGCATTTTCACCTGCGTCTACACAACGCAGGGTAATAAAAAATCAATAATACAATATATATACAAAAATGGTCACTATTTAAAACATAATTAAATTTTGCTTTGAAAAATTGATTGATTTTGAGCTGTTAAATACACAGCAAAGTTATGAAATTAATAGTTTTTTTCCGAATGTATACAATATGGTACACTGCCAGTAAGTCAATATTATAAATATTCTATATTACGACTCAAAAATGAGACATTGCCTCATTTTTTCAGCTTATTTGTTTTATAATTCTGTCTCTAAATTATATTTTTATTGGTATTTATTTGTTATAATAAATATATTTTATATTTTTACAGACAACATAATTAACGCAACAGTAATAAACCACATTACGATAACATTTGACACTTTTACCATTAGCACACTAATTTTAAAATATGTCTGGATAATAGTTGATTGCGTAGTGTTGAACCAAATTAATATAATCTTATAATAATAATTAAATTGGTTTAGAAAGACAATTACACTTCATTTTAAAATCGAGTAGCATCTGTGCCTGAATAAATCTGAATCTCAGGCTCCAGCGGTTCTCCTTTTTAATATGTTTTTTTACAGTCTGCGTACAAGTGTCTAACAACCTATATCTTGGAAGTGCCTTTAGTAGGGATAGCAGGCACATCACAGATATAGAAAAATAAAATAATGATAAAAGCATGAGTATCGGCAACATCATAAATAAAGCGTTGGCAAAACTCATTGGCAGAAAAAAACTTTGAGCCAGAAAGTGCAAATCGAGAATGAAGTAACTGATGTAACGAGGTTGGTTTGAAAAGTTCTCGGCCTGACCGAGATTTGAGGGTAGTGTGTAAACTAATTTATTGTAGATTCTTTATTTAATCGTATGTCAAGTGCTATTGTATTGAGACAAAGGAAGAATATTAAGAAAAATTAAATATGTTTTTATTTTCTTTGTTTTCTTGGTCGGGCCGAGAACTTTTCAAACCACCCTCGTGCAAAGCGAAAGTAGAAGGATATAGAAGACGCAAAACGTCTAAACATGCATTTCAGGATCATATTATTAACGTTATATCGAAAGATATT